TTGTTTCAGTTCATAGATTGTTTAAAAAAGATATTAAAATTCTTATAGAAGCATTTTTTAATGACCCAATTCTCCACACTCTCTAAGAAATATTTCAGTTTAGGTAAACTCTCCTATTCATGTCCCGTAAACTAAATTTGAAACTTTATCTCCAACTCCTTGCCATACTTTAAATTAATCTTTATTTTTGGTCCATTTTATCAGTTATTAATTTTAGATTTACTATGAGAGGTTACTATAGAGACTTTTTGGTCCATTTTATCAGTTATTAATTTTAGATTCACTATGAGAGGTTACTATAGAGACTTTTTGGTCCATTTTATCAGTTATTCATTTTAGATTCACTATGAGAGGTTACTATAGAGATTTTACTGATAATAAAAAGTTTTACTCATAAGTGTTTTAAAATATTTTATAAATTTTTATGAAAAAAGTATAACTTTAAATGGGAGTTTTTGTTTTTTATTTTTTATTGCGCTCTACTTCGCCTTTTCTGTTAGTTAATAAAAATCAGACAATTAAATAAGCTTTACTAAAAACTTAAGGATAACTCTTAAACAATGGTAATGTCTGGTAAATGAGCTTGATTTTCTTTTCTTTTTAACTAAAAAAACTTTTATTACAAATTGAGGGTCAGACCACTTTCTCACCCTGCGTTATATAAAGAGTCAGACTTTCTCCCCCTGCGTTATATTAAGATTTTCATTGCTAGCTTTTTAAAATTCTAAACGTTTTTTGTTTTTTTCACTAAGGGAATTCACAATGCTAGGTTTTAAACATTTCTTTTAAATAAAATTACGGTCAATTAAAAAAATCAACATTAAAAAAAATGTTCTTATTGCAATCCATATTACAAAGTTTAGTAAGAATATCACCTCTCAATATTTTCTCTATTTTTTATTAGTAATTGCTTCTTTTAAACAATTTTATATATTTTCTTCTAGTTAATATATTAACGCCTTTATAATACAGTATAAAGCAAAACTTTATAAAAACTGGACTCGGTGATAAGACATAATTATGTCTTCTTTTTGCTCCATACATTTTATTGTATATATATATATATATATATATATATATATATATATATATATATATATATATATATATATATATATATATATATATATATATATATATATATATATATATATATATTTATATATATATATATATTTATATATATATATATATATATAAATATATATATAAATATATATATAGTTATATATACATATAGTTATATATATATACATGTTAATTTATATACACACACACACACACACACACACATATATATATATATATACATATATATATATATATATATATATATATATATATATATATATATATATATATATATATATATATATATATATATATATATATATATATATATATATGTATATATATATATATATATATATATATATATATATATATATATATGCATATATATATACACACACACACACATATATATATATATATATATATATACATATATATATATATATATATATATATATATATATATATATATATATATATATATATATATATATATATATATATATATATATATATATATATATGCATATATATATGTAAATATATAAATTATGTTGGTATATTCTACAAATAGAAGGCTCAATGTTTCTAAAGAACAGAGCAATATGTATAAACTGTATTTATTGTAAAGGGCAAAATAAACTCAATAAAAGAGAGAGAGAGAGAGAGAGAAAAGATAAAATTCAAAATATTGTTAAACTAATAAATATTACAAATATTTTTTACTGCAATTAGTGTCAAATTTGTATATAAATTGGCTCCAAATGTCTTGTCCTTTCAAAAAATAAAGTTTATTATTAACAACCAGAAAAACAAGAATAAAAGACTTTATTTATAAATTTCAATTATTAACTCAACGTCAACAACGAGTGGCGTCTCGGTGTTTCTAGTTCTAATTTAGCTCTATTACGTTCGCAAAGTTGACAAAGTCGCAAATTTTTTTCTTTTTCAAAAGACCTCCCATTCATTTTAATAAAGACTGGTTCTAATTTTGCTTTATCACGCTTATAAAAATTGACAAAGTCGCAAGTACTTTGTTTTTTAAAAGACCTCCCATTCATTGAGATAAATACTAGTTATTTTCATGTATCATTGAAATAGTAAACAATTCATTCTAGTTTTTATTTGTCTAGGGCAGTATTTCACACCTTCCACAAGTGCGAAACGTTTTATTTACTTGATTGAGTAAATTAATTTAAAATAAAATAAAATAATAAGAACTTAATGTGAAAAAAAAACAAAACAAAAACAATAAAAAAAAAAAACAATATAAAATATTTCTCATAGCTGTTGAAATATTAAAAAGACGGAAGGAAAAATATAACGGCAAAGCTAAATTCTTTTCTGCGTATTGCTTTTTATCTCTTTATTGTCTGTTTGTTGCTTTTCACTGCATTCTATTTTGTGCTTAATAAATCTCAATCGATTTTAAGGAATGACTAGGATGTTTCATTTTGTATATATTAATAACTGAAATATTAAAAATCTCCTCAGTGCATCCGTTCGTTAGACAATTGGGGGTATTAACTCAATTATTTCCTGAATATAAACTCAACAAGTAAAAAAGTTTCATCCGTAAGCAAGCAAGAATAACGACACTTGTTTACATTTAAGAATTTCTTAACTTTATGTAAAAAACAATTCTTAGTTAAAAACGAAGTAAAAGGGTTTTAATTTTTTGTTTTTTAGTTGAAAACAAATTGCTAAATAAAACTTAATTTAAAAAAAAAAAACCAAATATTTAAAATGATAAACTGGTTAAAATTAATAGATTATACAAACCATTGTAAGCATTTAAAAACAATTTTTTTTTTATAAAAACAACAACAAAAAAATTTCACCTAATTACTCCGCCTTTGTTAATAAAACCTCCGTTTTACAGTTAAAAGTAATGTATGAACCGTAATCCCTATTACAAAAGAAATGGTATATTGTTTATAAAGACGTTTTGATGATTGTAGCTTATTTTATATTTTTGTTGCTTTTGTTTGTTTTCCTTGTTGTTGTTTTTAATTTGATTAGTTATATTCTTACGGCCTTACGACCACGTTTGCTGTTTTAAATCGCGAGCGTTGCTTTGACTTTACACGAAGCCTCTAAAACAAACATAAAGAGAATTCGTCGAAAGTAAAAAAAATCATGCTGACCTTCGGTGATCCGTAATTGAAATTGATATATATTTTCTCCGTATTTTGACATATAAATGGTTAAAGTTAATCTTTTTATTAAACTCAATCAATTTCAACAAAATAAGTGTCAAGTTTACTGCTTATTTCAAGTAACAAATAAGTCTTATTGTAAATAAAGTTATTGTTTAAAAGGGATTGAAACTTCAATCATTATTGTAATAAAGAAGAATTTCATGTAAGATTTGTATTTATTAAAATTAAATAAACTAAATGAAACAAAAGCGCTACGTCAAATTTATATTTTGATTATTAAGAGGAATTTTTTTACCTAATGTAAAACTACTGTAAAAATCGACTGAATCAATAAGGTCAGAGAGACTAGGTCAGCGAGTTTGGATCATTAAAATCGATAACAATAATTAACGATATAGTTTATAATGATAGGAAACTTACACTTGACATTTAAATGGGAAGTCCTGAGGCTATAACGTTCGTTTGTCGTGGGTAGATAAGCCAATTGACAAAACCATCATCTTATATTTTTATGGGCGCCAAATGTTTATCATGTTTAATTTCTTTTATATAAATGATAAAAACATTTAACCACAAATTATTTTTTTTATCTCCAAATGAAATCAAGAACTTTTAAGTCATAAAAAGTAGCGACAGCGCCAGTGATAATCATAGACAAGTGTACACATTAGCTTATCAAAAAGTACGCTAGAGTAAAGCTTATTGTTTTGTTTTGGCTAGGATATATCCTTCTCGTTAAAATAATTTGTCCTACTTTTATATACGATATTCATATTTTTAGGTTTCTTGTTTCGATATATATATATATATATATATACATTTATATATATATATATATATATATATATATATATATATATATATATATATATATATATATATATATATATATATATATATATATACATACATATATATATATATATATATATATATATATATATATATATATATACATATATATATATATATATATATATATATATATATATATATATATATATATATATATATATATATATATATATATATTTCGTTATGTTTGTATGTATATATGTGTTTGTTTGTATGTGTATGTAAAAATATGAAATATACTTTTTGCAAATCTTTGTAGAAGTTTAATAAATAAAGTATCAAGTTTAAAAATTCTTTCGATATTTTTAAAGCTTCAATTTGGTTGGGCGTAGACACATTAGTAATTGCGGTAAAGATCAGTAAGAATTCTAAATAGACGTTAATTTTAAAACCTGGCCTGCCCCTTGATTATTTAATTTGAAATTTTTAAGCTGTCTCCATTTCAACCACAGTATCAATGGGTCGGCAAAAAAAGAAAGATTGAACGTTTTATCAATTTTACCAACGAAAAACACTTAACAAATATTGTAGTACTTTTTTAAGTTTAAATGTTTTTTGTAAAACTGTTATTTTTAAAATAAACCTTTTACTTCTTTTTTTTTTTTTTTTGAAATCGTTTTAAACTGATATTTAATAAAAGCTTAAATATAAATGTGGTAAAGTTCGTAAAACCAATGAGGCAGGTGCCGGCATAGATGAAAGTGAAAGAACAATTTTTTTTATTGAACTTCACATTTACTGTGGATTGTCGGAATGTTTTACTATTAAGTTGATTTGAAGTCAAAAACAAAATAACAAAATCAACCAATGAACTTCCTTAGAAATTGTTTAATCATAAACCAATCAAATAGCGTTTTATATCTTTTAACCAATAAGATAACAATTTTATTGTTTTGTCGGCATCTTAAGATATTAAAAGTTAATATCTTTTCCGCCTTACGTATTCTGTTTATCACCGCCTCTTAGACCATCCCATTTGTACGTAAACAGAGAAAATATGATCGCAACGCGCCATTTCTCAGTCAGAGGCGTGACATTAACCCCTTATCAAAGAAGCCGAAGCTATTTAAGATAAGATGGCGGTTTCTTCTGATGTCTGAATGAATTGTTTCGGTTTTTTTTGAAGTAAGGATAACGTTAAGAACGATTTGAAATGCCCAGCTGATTTAAATAGAATTGAAGTAGAAAGCATTCAGTTAAACTTTCTACTTTAAAGTGCAAAGACGTTCATAAGAAATATATTTCAGTAAAATTAACTAAAATGTCACCTCCAAGTCGTGTTCCAACAACAATCAGTTCAAACTTTAAAAGTCAACATCATTGTGTAAGTTTAAAGATATCTTATAGTAATGGAAAAAAATGTTAAAATATATCTTATACAAAAATTAAAGGTTTTAAATATTTTATTTTCATTAACTTATTTTTAAGTATATATATATATATATATATATGTATAATTTTTTAGCTTAAAGAACATACTAAGTATTCACCGTTGGCATTACTTGCAGCAACCTGTAAAAAGATTGGACGGCCTATCAGCCCATTAGAACAAACATCTCCTAAAAAACTTTTTCAACCATGGAATCACACATTTGAATCACACAATTATGAAACACCTATTTCACCAAATAGCAAAGTGAGACACTTTCTAGAGACAAATTTCTCGCTTCCACCAAGTCCTCCATTAAAATCAGAGATAATAAAAGTTCCTCCAACAATAAGACCAATGCCGATGACGAATGTAATGCAAGAAAAAGCGACTTTAAATTACTCACAAAAACTTTCTCCACCACCATGTCTCGCATGTTCAGCTGGTCAAAAGTGTAATGGTATAAATAAAATATCTCCAGTTTTGCTTTCTCCGCCTGCCTCGCCAATCTCATGGTTATTTCCTCAAAATATTATTCAATCTCATCCTTCTAAAGTATCAATTAACGAGCACCACATAAAAGAATATTCCGAACATTCTCAAGCTGATCCAACGCGTTTTGTAAACTACGTTTACAAAAACGTCGACTCTTCTCAAGCAAAACCTAATTTAATTATTCGACACGATAACATGGTCTCCTCTACACAATCATATAACAATCGTATATTCTCATCTTCACCACATTTAACTACAACATCCCACATATATTCAATGTCTACATCAATTCCAGCGCAATCACATGCAGTTGTACCGAACAGCGTTGCAACCCGAAGATGTCGTCGCTGTAAATGTCCAAACTGCATATCAGGACAGCAATCTGAACCTAATAAACCCAAGCAGCACGTATGTCATATTCCAGGGTGCGGAAAGGTTTATGGTAAAACTAGTCACCTTAAAGCTCATTTAAGATGGCATGCTGGATTACGTCCCTTCGTTTGTAATTGGTTATTTTGCAACAAATCCTTTACTCGTTCTGATGAACTCCAACGTCACTTGCGAACACATACGGGCGAAAAACGTTTTGCTTGTCAAGATTGCGGCAAACGTTTTACTCGTTCCGATCATTTATCGAAACATATGAAAACACACCAAAATAAAAAACAAGAAAACACATTTGTAAAAGATACTGTCATAGAAGTCATTAAAGACAATGTCGATGAAAATTGCGATGAGAATGTTATGGAACTTGAAGTAAACGTTGAAAACTAAATTTAAAAATTTTTATTTATAGCTCTAGAGTATATCTTCCTTTTAAGTGCTTAATGTATATAACTTCAATTTGTAAATATTGTACGTATGTAAATATTACTCCTAAATCGAAAAGCTTTTAGTACTTGCTGTTTTTTAATAACGATAAAAAAATAATAAACTAATTTAAAAAATGTTTTTTTTTTTCATTTTTAAGTTTTTTACAAAGTATTTTTCAATTAAAAAAAAAAAGAAAAAATAGAAGCTTTCGGGGACAATTAAATTTAAAAATAAAGAAAACATACAGGCTATACAGTTATTTAACGATCAATTGTTCAAAGCAAATATCAAATATAAGAAATAATATCGATTTGATTTTCTATAAATAATATATATTAAATAAAACCATATTCAACTTTAAAATAAACGCTTGTTTAATAATTTAATAAATGAAGTGACTCGCGACACAGGTTGACGACTTTGAGGGGGTGTAATGAGAAGTCTGTGGCGTCTTATTCAGCCCAAAATATCTAATTTAGACGCCTACTTCAAATATAACAGTTTGTTTTGATTTATATTCATAAGACGCGCTAATAAGAAATGTACTTACACACATATATTCATATATATATATATATATATATATATATATATATATATATATATATATATATATATATATATATATATATATATATATATATATATATATTTATCAAAAGTAATAAAAAAAACGAGCGAAAAAACGGAGATTTTGATCGTGAAAATGTTATTGGTTTGCTTTATAAAAATAAGATGTAATGCATTTAGAAATTCCTCCCTTAAGCAACTATACTATTACTATACTATGTACTATACTATTTTTTTTAATGTAAAACTACTAACAATTTAGAAAATAAAATGTTAGCTTCGTAATTCACAAAACCACGACAAAGCTATATTTGGTTCAGAGAAAAAAGCAAACAAATAATTCCCAAGATTCGGGATTTCCGTTTAATTTTCAAATTGCCAAGCCTTCTTCCCTAAGAATTTTTATAAAAACGTTTACGCCGTTGTTCTTTTAATAAATTAATTTTATATAATGGTTTACTTCTTAAAAAGACGATTAAAACAAAAAAAAGATATCGGTCTCAACGTTGGGTGTCTGAGTCTTAAAAAAAGATTCTTTTTTTCGCTTTTAAGACATCATCTGTTTTACAATATTTTGCGTTGTTACTATTAAGAGAACTACATGGGCTTTAAATTATCACTAAAAATTTATTCCTATTTACGCGTATTCCTTATATTGGTTTTATTCCAGCCTATCCACGTTTCCTTAATTTATTTTAATCTTTACCTATAGAAATGACATCAAATTTAAATGCAAATAGATATTGAACCTTTAGGTGAATAAATATTTTTAAAACACCGCGCCGTATAATATTTTTAAAGATAAAATGGTTTAGTTTAAAACAAAAAAAATTAGTATTTCGAGATAAGACAATTATCAAGTTTAAAATTGCATATTGTAACACAAGAAAAAAATAACAACACTAGTTATTTGGTAAATTACCCATCATGCTTAAAATAGCGACATAAATAGCGGCATGGCTTGCGGCAAGACAAGCGACAAAACATTATTAAACTTATTTGCAAAAAAACATCGTTTGCTTTTAAAGCATTGTTTGTCCATTTTTTTTTTTTTTAATCGTTATTTAATTTTTTTTTCATCAATTTTATCCACATCAAAGTAACATTTTGCAAACACGTTCTTATTTTTAAAAAAATAAAATCCTTTTTTTATAAGAAAAAGTTTATAGTTGACTCCATATATATGAGAGTTTTAAACATGGAAATCTCTCTCTCTCTCTCTCTCTCTCTCTCTCTCTCTATATATATATATATATATATATATATATATATATATATATATATATATATATATATATATATATATATATATATCAAAATAACATTTTACAAACTCTTATTTTTTAAAAAACAAAAAGATAAAAAGATATATATATATATATATATATATATATATATATATATATATATATATATATATATATATTTACATACAAATTAGTAAAACTACTTTTTTAAATTTACTAATTTTATCTTATTCTATTTATCACTTATCTAATTTTACTAATTTATTATTGTTCTGTTTTTTAAGAACATTGACCACTCTATTTGTAGAATACAAAAATATAATTTATATTTGATATATATATATATATATATATATATATATATATATATATATATATATATATATATATATAAATATATATATATATATATATATATATATATATATATATATATATATATATATATATATATATATATATATATATATATATATATATATGTATATGTATATATATATATATATATATATATATATATATATATATATATATATATATATATATATATATATATATATATATATATATATATATATATATATATATATATATATATATATATAGATAGATAGATCGGCAGAAAGATAGATATATAGATAGATCCAACTTTAAAACTCTCAGATTTTTTATCACATTGGTCGGAATTTCCAGTTTACTTATTATAACGTATCGCTCAACATGCAAGGTTTTGCATTTTGCATTTTGTAGTTTGAATACTTTTGTTTTGTGTATACAAACCCATACTATATTAACATATGAATAAATATGATGACTATAAACAAATTGTTTTTTGTAAACTATAATCATGAAATAAGCGAGATACTAAAATTGAATAATAATACTTTTGATTCAACTGGGTAATTTCTTCATGATCTATTTGAACATAAAGAAACTTTATTTTTAACGTTGCTGAAACTTTACAAGGAATAAAATCTTTATACGAAATTTGATTTTTACGAAAATTAAATTACTTTTACACAATTTATAAAAAAACTTGTCTTGCTATGTGGTATCCAATGGGTTTGCCCAAAAAAGTTGCCAAGTTACTCACATATTTCTTCATTTCTTCATAAACTGGTCGTTGAAATAATGAAGTGTTAGAGTTACAAAAAGATCCTCTGACCTAGATATATAATCATCAGTGATAACAGCCCCCTGATGACAACTGCTAACTTCTTTTTTATTAAATGACAACTTGAACCTTGAAAGCGCAGTGATATGCTTTACACTCATTTTGCGATTTAAATGCTACCGTTTCCTTGAAGCATGGTTCATCTAATAGAGTGAAGAAAATGTTGAATTTGAATGAAAGCATTTTTCAAACAGTAAAAACATTTTTCAACTATTTTCACATTAACGCTTACGGAGAAATTTTTTTGATGTAAACTGAATTTATTGATTTAAAATAAACGAAATAAAAATTAATGATTTACAAAAAGCTTCTTAGTTTAGGAAAAAAACATTATTTTACAAAAACTTACCATATGCATTTTCCTGCTTGATAGTAGGTTCTTTAAACTTTTCAGTTCTTTAGAACTAAACGCTGGCTCTTATCAGTGTTTTCAGAGGGATATTTTATTTTTCACGTAATACTCGATACGACAAATGGATCAAACAGTTTATTTGGTTTGGATTAGACCTTTTTTACATTCACCATACTTAAAACTTGATACATTAACCTTGGTGTAGTATTTCCACAAAGTTGGCGTTTGTTTAGACACTGCAAATTAAAATATTTTCAGAATTAGTCCAATCAATTTTAAAAATGATGAAATCAGATAAGTGAAGAATGTTATTTTTAATTATTTTTAAAAAGTTATTAAAAAATGGAGTCATATTTACGAGAATTTAAAGAGTCAAACGATAATCTATTTAGTTTGGGGGGAAATTAACCTATACAACCTTACTTAAGTACAGTGTAAATGGTAAAAAATAGCTATTAGCTAGTCTTAATGGATTTAAGTTAAATATTTATGCGTTTTTAAAAACAAACCAATGTAAACAGTCAAGGAAACTAGTTTAATTTATAATCTAAACCCCCAAAACTTTACTTTACGTTTATTTATTTTTCCGAGAACTTATTGTTTTGTTTTGTATAGTACCCGAAAAACAAAAAAGTTTACTATACTATGTACTACAAAAAAATTTAAAAAAGAAATTTTTTTTTTTTAATTTTTTTGTTGTTGTTGTGATTTTTAGGAAACGAAACAAAATTATAACGCTATGATTACTATTATTTTCTACCCTATAAAACCGATCATCCGTATTGGATGATCGGTTTGGTAGTTTGATCGGTACAGACGCAGATGCAAACTATTTAGTGTACTATTTAGTGTACTACTTGTACAGTTTCTTTAAAATTTGTATCAACTTCTTTGGATTTGAAAAAATATTATTTCCCAAAATAATTCTTATTGCTCTATTTTGCTGGACTTTTTATGTTACCATTTATTACTAAAAGAATAAATAATTAGGTAGTTCTGAAAATGAAGAAACATCCATTGATTTATAAACGTTTATAAATCCATTATAAATTCTTGCAAAATACAGCAATTAGAATTATTTTTGGAAAAAGTATTTATAAATAGTTTAAACTAATATGGCTGTTTCTTGACTTTTTTTACTTACTCTTCCGAAAAAATTTCGCTTTTTTTTTAAATAACCGAAAGTTTAAAAAAAACCCGATGCATTTACACATAAAGATATTTTTTCAAAAACTGTTGTTTAAACGCTTATACAAATCTGTCTAAAAGTAACGCATCACAATACACAAAATATTATTATTCTATGTAAACATTGCATGAAGGTCACTCTTTTTAAACATTCATTTTGTTAAAACTGCTAAACAAATTTGATTTCTGATATTGCCTAGAAAACTTTTGAAAAAAAGTTTTCTAGACAATATCAGAATCAATATCTTAACAGGTCATAATTCCTTGAGACTAATTCACAAGATCAGTGTTTTGTATTTTGCTTTTCTTTAAATAAAATTAAACACATAGCTTAAAGCTATTTTTATATTAAGAACAAAAAGAGGTGTAAATAAACATACAAGTGTTCATAAAATATTAACTATTTCGCAAATAATTTTAAATACGCTTGTGAGGATATTGAAAGACTGATGCTGTTCTAATTAAAAGTATGTCAGCTGGCTTTATTTATTTGCACTAAAGAAACTTTGAAAGAAAGCCTTTTTAAATAATTAGTATAACCTGATTAATGTATTAATTTAAAAATATTTATAAAATATATTAAGCTTAAATTGAATAAATAAATTAAAAGAAATTAGCTTAAATGAAAAACTTTGGTAACGTTACTATTATTGTTTTTATGTTCTTGGAACTTTTTATTTTATAATTATATTGTTAAATGTTATTAAATCTTTTTTTTCGTTTATTATTTAAATGTTATTAACGTTTTTTTTTAAAAAAACAAACAAAAAAACTCGAGCAATATATTATTACATGCAAGGAAGCATGTTTATCCGTGTGTGCTTAAGTTTAACATAAGCTTATCGCAATAGTTTCGTTTAATCTTGAAGGGCTAATTGCATAATTCTAAGTTTCACTTCAAATATTGTTAAGATACGCGGTGAAAGAAAATTATATTTTATCTAATAAACATAATATAAACTAATATAAAAACAAACTATTGATATAAACAAATAAGTCGTTTAATGAAACATTACCAAGGATCAAGATAAGGGTGTTTGAGATAACATTTAGCAACATGTCTAAATGTTACAACACAACATTTAGACATGTTGCTAACGCCAAACTTTTTTCTACGGCATTTTTATGTTTATTTCATGAGAACAAATAAACCAAAAATTTTGTACCCTTCCCCCAACCCCAATGTGAAGGTAATAATTTAATACTCCAACTTAATTTATAGTCATCAACAGATTACAAATTTTATTTACCAACATTTTAATTCCAACATTTTCTTCCTCATTTCGGGAAAGATGAAATATTTTGCTAAAAGCAAAAGCTTTATTTGATACAAGCATAAGCATACTAAAGTTTGAAACTTAAACACCAAAAAAAGCTTCTTCGATTCAAGTAAGTTTCACAGTTAAATTTTGAAATAGAGAAATCAATAGAGACTAAACGTACATTTAGTCTCTTATATTGTTTTTAAGTAAAAAAAAAAATTAAATAATATGTCATTTAATTTTTTTTTAAAAATTGATGCTTCGAATAGACAATTTGAAAAGAAGAGGTTATTCTTTTCAAATTGTCTTATTTAATTTTATAATGAAATACAGTTGAGATTTAACACGATGTTACGTCTTAACAGCATTATATTATATTACATTATTAATGGAAGAACAACGATTTTTTATTTAAAATATTTATTAGAAAAAGAAAAAAAAAAAAAAAACTATACAACACGTTGAGTTTTCAAGGAAAAAACTGAAAATGGATATCACATAAATTGCGAAAGTAATAAATACGGCAGAAAAATTACAACGTTACAATGAAATTGCGCTAAAAATAACCATTATAGTAGATATTGTATAAAAATAAATGTAAAAAAGAAAATATATCTATAAAAATGTAATTAAAAAAGAAACTATAGCAACGTCAAAAATAGTGTAAGGAAGATAAACAAGTCAAAAAATCACTAATTGTCACGTTTATAAAAAAAAAAAATTTGTTCTGGTATAACAAAGCAAAAAACTTTTAAAGTTTTTATTTTATAAGAGTTGCATTAATCAACTTATCAAATAAAATAGTTGTCTGAATTATAAAAAATAGTTGAATTTACTCGTGAATATATCATCTTTACTTTGTATAATGAAATTTAGTTAATATTATCTTATCAAAAAAAATATATATAACGTGATTACTTCAGTTTACCTTCACCAGCGTAAGTAAATTCCGGAAAGTTTGCATTTGGATTACTATCCAATAAACCTTAATAAATATTGAAAACATTAGTAGAGGATATAAATCATAAGACTGAACACAAAAAGTTCGACTTACTTCCCTGAGGGGGTGTCAACTGAGGAGTTTCGTTTGTAAAGTCTTCATCAAAATATTTGACGTCTTCTTTATTATCAAGTGCAGGTTTAAAAGGAGAAGGAAGCTAATATAAAAGGAAACATTATAATCAATTAATTGATATTAATAACAGTATATTCAACATAATCATTAAATGGTGATAAAGAGGCGATACTTTAAAGTTATTAAAAGCTGGACGAGGTATTTTTTGTAACATCCTTCACCTCACAGGATTGAGCTCCAAAGAGATTATTTAATAACAATACATGCTCTTTCTGATTTTAAATATTAAATTTGAGATAATAAACTTAAAATAACTTTTTATAACAAAAAAATTATTTATTTTGTAATTTTTGAAAATAAATAAAATAAATAACTTTTTATAATAAAAAAAAATATGCTGTAACTCGTATCACATAAATCACTTATTAACATTTTTTAAAAAGAGAACAATGAAAGTATAATACAGTCGAAATGAGCCGAAGATGTTTTAAATATTCTATTTCTCTTTAACCTCCAAGTATTATACCTTTTCTTAACACATTACTTTCTTTTGGTTTTAAAATCTTTTTTTTAGAAACTTGACTTCATTTTTTAATTTTTAATCTTTGGTGATTTTTTAGACAACTTCAGAAAAGATTTTCTGTAAGTTTAGATGTTACTTTCTACCATTCCATGTACATCCATTCCTTCCATGTCAATTTTAAACACGATATTAGTAAATTATGTGTACAGCAGGTTAAACTACTTTCAATTAATAACCTGATTAAGTAACTAAAATTTTTTTTTTAATTATATTAAATTTTTTTATAATTGTTTAGATAAAGCACAAGAAAAGTTTTTCTGTTTAGATATTTGGTGTAAACACTATGTTTTGATTCATTTGAATTTTTTAATGTTTTTAATGTTTTAGTTTAACTTAAATATTTTTTTTTTAGATATGCTGGAATAACGACTAATAAACACTCCCATACAGACACCATTTGTTGTAGATTTTAAATATCTTTGTTCTACCTTTGTCATAATTTTGTTTGAGTTTTTCTGTTGTTGAAATATGGTGTTAATATAATAAATTTCCATGATTTGAAATTGACTTTAATAATAATTAAAAAAAAATCAAACTAAAAAAAAATTAGGGCAACAATAGATTTACTATTATCAATGCAACAGTTTTAACTGTTACTTTTAATAATTTGTTGTAAGCATTTGTTGAATTTTGAACACTTTGAATACTTTAAAAGTTAAAACCTTTAAAATCATTAAAACTGAGAGTGAAGAAAAATTTTGAACGGTGAAAAGAACATTTTGATAGTTTTTTAAATGCAGCTTGCGAATTATTTTCTAAAAAAAATATTTTGTCAGCAATGTCAGCAATTCATTGTCAACAAAATAGCATTAACTAAATAAGTGTAAAAGATCACAACAATCATACTTCAAAAGAACCATCAAGCTCTCTACATGTTATGCATAATCTTCTACATGTTATGCATAATCTTCTACATGTCATGCATAATCTTCTACATGTTATGCAAATTCTTTTACATGTCATGCATAATCTTCTACATGTCATGCACAATCTTCTACATGTTATGCATAATCTTCTACATGTTATGCATAATCTTCTACATGTTATGCATATTCTTCTACATATTATGCATAATCTTCTACATGTTATGCATAATCTTCTACATGTTATCCATAATCATCTACATGTCATGCATAATCTTCTGCATGTCATGCATAATCTTCTACATGTTATCCATAATCTTCTACATGTTATGCATAATCTTCTACATGTCATGCATATTCTTCTACATGTTATGCATAATCTTCTACATTTTATGCATAATCTTAATCTTTATGTTCATTCCACAGTAACTTCTTTGGAAGTAAAGAAATATTTTTCTCAGTTTCTTTGGTAGTAAAGAAATATTGTAGCCAGCTTCAGTTGCTTTAAAATCTTTAGTGGAAGCCCTTTTCGATAAAGAATCTTGACTGAGATGACTGATCTTTTCATCAACCCTCATTAACTCAATGGGGTGCAAGCTATCAAAATTGTAAAGCTGTTGATTAAGCAACCTAAGAAAATTATTGTGAAACTTTGTTATCTTTATCTAGTTGTAAACTTATCTGAAACTTTGTAATCTTAATCCAGTTGCTGATCAATTGAAGTAAAATTTCTGGTGAAATAAATTTAGTTATTTGAAATCATTAGCTTGATAAATTTTTGGTTTAAAGCTCTTTAAGCAAGAACCTTTATCAGTGTCTTATTTCAATCACAAAACACCTCCTTATGAAGTCTTATGAAATATTATTATATCTTATTGAGGGTCTCACAAGAATGCAATCCTCTTGGTCCAACTTCAATGCAAAGAATGCAACCTTCTTGGACCAACTTCATTAGAAAAACATATTTGTTTGACTCAGGTCTAGCATGTTATAATTTTGTCTAAAATTTGACAAGAATGAGGAAGAATTTCACAAAGCAGCCAGGAACAAAGCTCATTTCCATGAAAACAAAATTTCTGAAAAAAAGGGTGAGTGTATTTAACACCGCTCTTGATGCTTTTATTTAGTAGAAAAAAGACAAATTTTAAGCTGCAGAACTTTTTCTCATTTTTTATAATTCTCATAATCTAGTAGTGGTACAAATTAAGTAGAAAGTAATTAGCCTGGAGAAGAAATGCAAATCCTTGACAAAAATTTACGTGAACCAAATGGACATTGTAGTTCATTGTAGTTCTTGTTTATACGTATACTAATGTCAGTTTGTGTATGATTGTATAACTAAGTTTTAAAGATTTGGAGTTTCCCTAATCTAGAAATAAACTTTTTTAATGTTTTAGTTGATAATGATTTAGTTCATAAAATAAATCATAATAAGTCAAAAAATAATTTAAAAAGATAAGTGAAAAAAATAAGTTATGAAGATATATGCTAGAAAAATAAGATAAGCAAGAAAAATAATTTAAAAAGATGAGTGAAAAAAAAAAAAAAAGTTAAGAAGATAAGTTTACAAAGTTGAGAGAGGGTTGTAATCACAACTAAAAGTAGCCTCCTTGACTGTAGTGGCCTTCACGGCCTGAATTGAAATTAAAAAAAAAAAAAGTCCAATTAAAAATATCACTTTTTTTAGCGATATTGGTCTTCAAATTGCTTTTTATATATATTCTATCTGAGGCAGTAGTGAAATTATGATCCATTGTAAATAAAAATACTAGCTTCTTTAGTAGTGACTATTAACAAATGTTCTGAGAGCATGAATGGTGAATTATCCTTTCTAAAAAACATTTTATATTTGCTGTTTACATAATAATAACTTTTGTTGTTGACCTTAAATGGAGTTCTTCAACTGATTGCATTTTATCATTATATTATAGATAGCTACAAGAAATGAATTTACTTCTAAATAATACCACAGTAAAAGAAAAGTAAAAATAAACAAGTAAGAAAAATAGATCAAGAAGATAAGTAAGAAAAATAAGTTAAAAAAAAGAAAAAAAAAAAAGTTTGGAAGATAAGCAGGAAAATTAAGTTAAGAAGGTAAGTGAGAAAAACAAGTCAAGAAGATAAGCAAGAAAAATAAGTTAAGAAGATAAGTGAGAAGATAAACAAGTAAAATAACTTAATAAGATAAGCAAGAAAATTTTTTTTTGTATTTTTTTATAAGTTTCATATTTTAAATTAAAGCAAGAAAAGATTTTTCTCAGATTTTTCTATTTGTAAAAAGTTTTTTTACAGATGGAAAGTTTCAATTAGGTTAAATTGCAGGTTAACTTGAGAAATGGAACATTATCACCAGGGCTGTGGAGTCGGAGTTGGAGTTGTGATATTTTCAGCGGAGTCAGTCACTAAACAAAATTGCAACTCCGACTTCAATAGTAAAACTTCTCGGTATTGCACGTGAATGTACAAAACATTCAATTAACCTTATGTTCAAACTAAACCTCAAAAAACGTTTCATAAATTTTTCAAAAAAGAAATTTTTAACTTATCGCGTATAATTTTTGAAAAATTTAGTTTCGGAGTTGGAGTCGGAGTTGTGCTCAAAAAATTTCAACAACTGGAATCGGAGTCGAAGTTGTGCTCAAAAAATTTCAACAACTGGAGTTGGAGTTGTTACTTTTATTTTACGACTCCACACCCCTGATTATCATGGAGCTATCTAATGAATCATAGTTTTTCTTTTTAAGGTTAGATATTTATGAGAGTATGAAGATCCAACTAAAATCTTTTTTATTTTTACTACTATGTATGTAACAGTTTCCAGGAAACTACTACTACTACTAACACTAATACTACTTATTTTTAATAGAGGTTTTTTAGCAGAAACTAATAGAGGTTTTTTAGCAGACACTAAGAGAAATTTACGAACTTGAAGTTTATGATTTGTTTGAATTAATCTTTTTTCTATTCATTTTTTTTTTTAAAGTTGTTTTATTTTTTTTTATCATATTTATTTTATCTAAAAACAGAGATGAATGCATATATATACACAAATAATATCATATTGTATAACAATACACAATATATTGTGCCATGAGAAAAAGAGAAAACAATTTTTTTTTAGATTATTAGATAAGTTCTTAGATATTTAGATAAGTTCTTAGCGACATCTTAGTTGAACATCCTCACATCCTGATCAGGAAGAGGGTTTGAAGTTTGAATATAAAACTTGAGATGAATATCTAATATAGATGAAACTAAATACTAACACTTTCAGGAAAATTACATTACATTAATTACGTTAACTTTTATCAAAATTATATAAAAGTTAGTGAAAGTTGCATGCTAAATACAAAATCAAAAACTTTAATTAAGTGAAAAAAAACAAAGTTATGCAAACAAAAAATTTACCTTACATAGATTGCACTGCATCAATGTAAAGTGGCAAAACATCTTTAGAAAATATATTTTTTCTCTTGATGTGACAAATTTATTTTGATTTGAAATATTTTTATTTGTTTAGCAATATTGTTTCCGTAAATTGATAAAAAAATTTAATTAGTTATCTAAAACTATTGATAGATAATTGATTTTGTAGTTGGTGTGCAATCGTCAATGTTACACTCTATATAAGGTAACATTGATATTAGTATATTTTATGTTAAGGTAAATGTTAATTTATATTGTGAGAGGTAAAACTATCATTGCGGTTTTGACAAAGAATGCAATATGAACATTTTAAATATACACTAACCAAGATTTACATTTAAAAAAATAGCAGGATGAAAAAGTTGTAAAATTGCAACGAAATTGTAATGAAATATTATTTGAAAGATAACAAATAGCTTAAATTCTGATAGTGCCAACTTGAAGATATAAAAAGATCTGTTAATTTATGATTAAAAATTTCTTCTAAGAATTATCAATATATTAAATATATAACAATTAACAATTATCATTCCAAAACATTAATGATTAAACATCTAAATCTAACAAAATCTTGCAGCATTGTAATTTTTTTATCGGAACTTCTGACAGACTTTTTGGTGTTTAGTTTAATTTCTAAAACAACAAGATAATTTTTTACATCATAATTTTTTCATCATCTGATGTTTTGTTTTTACCATTTTTATGCAACATTATTAGGTGCAGATTTTTCTTCATGTATCAGTATTTAGATCTGCTGACATTTGATGTATTGGTAATTTTTTACTCTATTTTACTAATTTAGGTCTTTATTAATTTAGTTTGATTCCGTTTAAAAGACACTCTGCCAACTTTTGCTTGATTCTTGGCCCATAGGGTGGCTTAAACAATCATGTCAAATTTTACCCCAAAACTGAAAAGTGCTTTTAAAAACAATGCTACAAAAAAAATATAAATGCCTAATATTTAGAAATCATACATACACATTTTAAATGAGGCAGTAGTGTATTGGTAGAGCGCATTCTTCATAATTGAGAGGTTTCAAGTTCAATACCTACCACGACCTTAGTATTGCGCTCTAGTTGTTTCTCTGCGCAGCAGCCTTATTTGCTATATATACATATATAATATACACATATTGAGTTGTTTATTTAGGGGGTTATATTAGGAGGTTATATTAGGTTAGGGGGTTATACATATTGTGTTGTTATTTACACTTACTATTAGGCAGATATAAATATTTATATTTTTTCATTCAACAACTGGCTACAGCATCTGTTAAAATAACTTAAACATCATGCCATTGTTACTCACATGCCAAAGTACCCTCTTTATATACATAAAATGCCTGTTTTTCTCTACTCATTAACTTCCACATAAATTAAACAAAAACAATAAAATTTACATCAAAAACAAAACTTGTAAATAAGACTGTTTATTTTGTTGAACTTTTTTAAACTAACTATTACAAAACTAGAATCTTCTGCAGAGAAAATCTGTTACTGATGCTGTTGAGAAAAAGTATTTAATTAAAAATAAATTAAAACAAGAAATTAAAAAAATATATATAATTTTGATACTTTAAAGAGCATTTTCACAAAGTCTTGATTATCTGTTAATCTGTTATCTTTCTTGATTATCTGTTAATCTAACACAAAATTATACAATCATCGAGACTAGTTACATATGTCATACTATTTTTTTGAATCATAAATAAAGAACCCAGGCAAGCAAAAAAATATAAATAGAGTCAATATGAACCAATAAATAGTAGATATAAATATAAGTATAATAGATATAAATATAAGTATAAAATAATATAAATAAAGAGTCAATATAAACCAATTGGTATGTGGTAGTGGTGCAGTTGTAGAGTGATAGAAACTACAAGAAAAGTGGTGAGAATCTTTATCACATCCCTGATAGTACAATACTTAACTTGTTTCTCGGCCATCAACTATAAAACACAAGACTTGTGTTTTATAGTTGTTATAGTTGGGTTGGGAGATGATTGTAACAGCAAAAAAAAAGCAAGTCACTTTTTTTAAAAAATAGCTTTAACAGTTATTAAATAACTATTAAATTTAATAACTGTATTAATAAATAATAATTTTGGGGCTTAATGATAAGACTTTGGGGCTTAATAATAAGATTAAATTTGTCTTCTTCTAGCCCCGGTCATGTAATTATTTTTTTTATAAGTTACGACTGTAAATTTTTTTTTATCGGCAAAAGTGTAAATAAATAATAAAAAGTAATTTTTTTTAACTTTGCTAGTAGCAAATAACTTTTTATTAATTTTTTATTTTAATTTTATTTTATTGCATTCACATTTTAAAATAAAATTGATATTATACAATTTGTAAATAATAAATAAATACCTTTTTATTTAGAACATCATTCCAATTGATATCATGAAAGAATTCATGTGACATAACTTCTTCAGCATCTCTAATGCTACCTCCCAAACTATTCATTAAATAAAAACAAATAAACATATCATGATATCATGAAAGAACTCATGTGACATAACTTCTTCAGCATCTCTAATGCTACCTCCCAAACTATTCATTAAATAAAAACAAACAAATAAACTTATATGTACCAGTTTACATAAACAAATTTTATAATATGCTTAAAGATATTTACATTCAAAAGTTAACAGTAGCATTTTTTCTGTTAAAGCTATATTTTTTCTGAAAATCATTTTAACAACTTTTCCTATTGAATAAATAATAAATAGCAAAACATAACTTTACATAGTTTCATATTTTAATTTATAGCAATATCAAGAATTTAAATGTTTAAAGTAATTTGTGAATCTTTATTAGCAATTCTTTATAAAAAACAACAATCTATTTTAACAATAGTTTTAATATGTTTAAGTAAATATTTTTTAAAATTAGTGAAAATCGCATAATCTTTAATTAAAACGTAGTGACAATTGAATAATATTTTTCTTATTGAAAAATATTTTTTCAATAGAATAAAAAATTCGATAACTAAACATTTTAGAAGAATTTTGTTGTATTAACATATTTGCATTGTACTTTTTTATATATATTTAATAGATTATTATCCTTTTTTTTAATATATAAAATAAAGCAAAATAAACTATTTTAATTCTGTTCTAAATAACTTTTGTTCAAAAATAATGTACAATTGAATTTTTAAATTTTAATAACTAAATATAAAATTTAAAATCTGAATAAAAAATAAAAATTTACTAAATAAAATTTGAAAAAACATTTGAGTAAATGAATGATAATTATTTAACTAAAGATCTAAAAAAAATTAAAATCTAATAATATCAAAAGTTCACTGAAATGTATAATATTAATTTTCATAAATATTTTAATGTAAATTCTTGAGTAATGTTAAAAATATTTACTTTGTATTTTAGATATGAATCAATGACGTTGATAGACGACTTAGGAGGCAAGAGAAAGGTATGAAAAAATTTCACAATTTGATATTTTAATGTTAATTTATGATTAATTATATACATTTATAGGCAATATACATTTTTAGGTTATAATCTTTTGTCTGATTTTATCAGACAGAAGATTAAAAAAACAAAATTAAGGTTTTTAATTATTTTAATTTGAAACCTAAAGTTTGATGTTGGGAAAATAACTTTAATAGTTTGTTTTTTTACATATACTTTATTGGTATTTAAAAACAGCTATTTGGTGTTTAAAAACAGCAGACATTATTAATCAATTTTATTGTACATTTAATTTTTTTAATTTTTGAATATAATTAAATAAAATTAAATTTTTCTTATGTTTGTATTATTTATATATTGTATATATGATTTTTCTGTTCAATATTTAATAAATATTTAAATTTTCTCCCGATAAGGCTATTATTAGCAAGGGCTGTTAAGTTGAGAGTTACTAAATAACAAAGAATAGTGTTAAAGAGCAAGCAAACGGTTGATAGGAAACTTGAAAAGATTGTATGAGTCACAAAAATATAAAGATGAATTCTAAAGTATTGATTAAAATTGTTAAAAAAAAATCGTTAAAAAACATAGGTACCAAAATTAAGTATTCAATTAAAAAAGATATTTAAAATTGTGGGGTATACTCCAGTTTTAAAATCATCAAAATCTTTAACATTTAATAATTTAAAAAAATATCTTGACTTTCAAACAACTCCTACCATGGAGTCTACAAACTAGAGTGTTTATGTGGAAAAATTTGTTGGTGAAACAAAGGTCAAAATTTTAACACATTAGCCAGCATCAAAAACATACTTTTGAGGTAAAGTGAAAAAATTTTTAGAGGTAGAGAATGGAATTCGAAGTAAGAAAATGTCAGACAACTTTTATTTATATTTTTTTATTATTTTGATTCATTCCTAACATGGTGCAAGCAACCACTATTAAGCTGAGGGTTACTAGAAAAAAAAATTGAGTTATAAAACAAGGAAATGTTTGACAAAAGACTTGAAAAGTTGTAGGATTTTTATGTCAGGAAAAAAAGAAGTTGGGAGAGAGTTCCAAAGAGTTAAAATGCGGGGGAAAAAACTAGATGAATTTTTAGAGCATGCAGGGACAGATAAAGTAAAAAAATGAGACTTTGCTGAATGATGATGGAACTAGAGATGATAGCTTTGTTGATGGAACTAGAGATGACAGCTACTTTGAACAGCAACCATGATAGTATTGTAGAAAAGAGAAAGAAATGCAACTTTACAATGATGGGATAGAGGCTCAAGCTTAGCAGATAGAGCAGGTATAACTACATTTACAATACGCTTTCGAAATTTGTCTAGAAGAGAAAGGGCATAGTTAGAACCAGCCAAAATATGATAACAGTGTTCCATACAGGGATGAATAAGTTTGTTTAAGTAGAAAATGGAAGTGAAAGTAAATAAATGTCAGACATGATAAAGAGAAGCAACAGCTATTGTTAAACCTTACCTATGAAATTTTATGTTTTGTATATTTCTGCTAACTTTGACAGGTTAGCATTAATATAGGCTATATTTGAATTGAGTAGAATATAGGCTATATTTGAAACAGCCATCTTTGACTTGTCATCTTGAAATTCACTTTCTTATTTATTTCTGCTAACTCTAATAATAACTAGTCAATAAAAGAAATATCTGGAGTTCTATTGAGCAATGACAAATAATAAATTATATATAAACCACTATCATTGATTTGATCTCTTGATATTTTTTTGTTTATTTCAAATAAACTTATGCTATGGGTTAGTGTTACAATGAATAGGCAGAGTTAGATTTTAATAAAATTTTAACAAAATACTTTTTCGGGTAAAATATAAAAATTCAAAATAATTTGATACTACAAATATCATTAAAGATATTATTTATCTAAATATCTATTTATATCATTTTAAAATATTTTAAAATGATATAAAAGCATACAAACATACACCAATAAAAACAGTAAAAAACATAAATAGTAAAAAACATAAACAGTAAAAAATACAACAAACCATTAAGTATTTCTTTAAAGTAAATAACTGCCTGTATACCCACTTTAAAACACAACATTTGCTTTAGAAGATTAAAAAAAAAAATGCATAACATACCGTTTATCTGGATTTTTTTCTAACAAACCACTTAGTATACTTTTTGATGAAAGTGATAATCGAGAAGGAAATCGAACTGGTTCCTAAAATGTTTTTAAATAATTTAAGCCTAAATAAAATCTTAACATTTTTTGAAAACCTTATATATATCATTATATAAATAGAAGTAAGTTGATATTAACTAATTTATTGAATTTCATCTTAATTTTTTAAAAAAAACTTTAACTGCATGTAAAATTTACAAAGTAACTAGGTTTCTAGTATATAAACAATTGAAATGTTATCATTTTAAATTTAAAAAAATGATGTTTTTAGCATCTTATATACCAGTGGGCACCGGACCTAAAAAAAGACCTCTCTTGAACATTCAAAAAACATCCAAAACTAACGACATTCGAAAGAACATTAGATGTCACTTTTTTTACATCCCATGCCCACTGGGGTCTTTTTATAAATTTATTACAGCTGAAATTTATGTTGTCATCTCTTACGAACTACTTGGAACTCTCCTGGATTTTAATAAAAACTCCTGTTTTTTGGTAGCAAAAAAAAAAGTATATATATTTTTTTTTAATTATTAAAAATAATAAGTAAAAAAAAAATTGGTGTAAATAAGGAGACCCCAGTAAGCAGTAGCAGCCAGATCATTTTTTTTTAAAGTCAGTTATTTATTATTTTTTCAAGGCCTTTTCATCAAACAATATGTTTGATGAAAAGGCCTTGAAAAAAAGATCTCAATTGAATTTTTATCAAGTCTTCCAAGGAAGGGCATGCGGTTGCCTGGCTTGTTTGTCCACGTTAAAAGTAATTTTTTAAAAGACAACTTGACTACATTTTTATATAGTGTTTTAATAATTAGCAGCAAAATGAAGCTATAAGAAACTACAGAGAATAAAACAGCAATATATTCGAAGAAAGGAAACAAATACTATGTGAAATATAAAATCTAAACAAAATAAACTAAAAAATTATAAAATTAAAAAAAGAAAAAATTTTGTCAAAACAAAAATATACCTAAATATTTTACTTTTTTTTTTTAACATTTTTTTTTTAGGAAGTTTGTTATTTTCCACTACCAAAATTGATACTAGTCAAAGAAAACAGCAGATAAAAATATGATGAAAATAAAAACATTTTTTGATATACAATTTATTAGCAATTTTTTCAGTCAGTATATTAGATAAATACTTTATTATTTGCACTAGAAATATAGACAACTTTAAAATTTATTTTTCAAATGTTTTTGCTAAACTTAACTGTTTTTATCAATGCACAGGAAAGTGAAAGAACAAACAGCTATTTGTTTGAAAAATTACTTTTTAATTTGAACAAGTTTTTCATGTAAAAAAAAATAAAAATTATTTCTAATATTTAAATAATAAATATTTGTTTGTTTTCACTACCCGTACTGGAACAGTCTGCACTTTCATTGGATTGTCTAAATTGTGCATTTAAACCAAATAGTCTATTTCCTGATGAACTATTGCTATTGATGATGCTCCAAAAGCTTGTGAGTCAGTGTATTGTTTGTGAGTCAGTGTATTGTTAATTTACTAAACTTTTTGAACAAAATTTGTAGAACCCTAACTTTTTTGTTAAGTTTTTTAATACATTTTTTCAAACAGAACAATTGTTATGTTCATTATCTCTAGAAACTCGTCTTAACGTTGAAAATTGAGCAATATAAAGGGCACAATTTCAGACAGACATCAAATGTTGTAAACACATTTATAAAAAAAAACGTGTTATTCTTTTATTTAATTTCTTTTATCATTGCAAAATTTATTAATCAAATAATATATTTTACAAATAAATAACAACTTATTTTCTTATTTACCTTTTCTATAAGTATTGAGAAATAATATCAAATACAACAATACAGCTAAAACTATATGAATATAAATCCATATATATATTACTATGAAATTAGTATATATTATTAACAACTATTAACAATTAATACACACACACACACACATTCACGTTTAGCTTTTTGCCGTGAATTATTGAAACACTTTAAAAATTAAAATATGCAAACTGGTGTGGTAGGAGTGTCTAAAAAAATTATTTTAAGCATCAACGAACAAGGCATGGGACCACACACGCTTCCTGGGAAGGCTTGCTTGTTCCTTTTTTTTTAAATTATACTATCAATAAGTAGTATCAACATGAGTAAACATTTCATTACTGCCCATTGCCATGGTCAACTTAATCTGGTTTTCATATCTTGAATAAATTAGTTTGATTATATTACTCCAAACATTTCCCCCACAGTTAAAATATCTTTTTATTTACAAGCAGAAGCCAATTTTACTTATAAACTGAACAAGCTCAATTTAAGTGTCTCCATTACTCAACTTATTGCTCTTGGCCTATCAACACCAACAGTTTCATTTATACCTTTTTTCAAAAAATTAGTTGTTTTAGCAATGTCATACCATTAAACTTCTGAATATGAAAACTGAATGACACGAATGCTTCTAAATATTACATTTATTATTGATACAAACTACTTTAGTTTTAATACAAACTTAATTTTTTTTTTTTTTTTGCAAACTTTTGTTTTTTACTTTTAGACATTTTTTATTAACAAACATAATAAACAAGACATTAAAACAAAAGTGTGTATTTTTCAACTCCTGTGCTTAATATTTGTTGAAAAATGTTAAGTACTTGCATACTTTTGTTCAGAATTTAATAAACATCTAAATAATGCAGAAAAGCAAAATTTGCAATTTAATTACAGCCATCATAAAAATACTTAAAAAAATAAAATAAAACAATGACTGTTGTGAAACTGTAACATTTAATTATAATTTTTGAAAATATACTCCTGTTTTATGAAGAAAAACTCAATAACAAAATACTTACACTTAGTATAAGTTCAAACAACACTTCGTGATCTCGATTATAGAATGGCAGTCGACCACACAACATCTCATAAAGTACTACTCCAAAACCCCACCAATCAACAGCATGCCCATAATCATTGTCTTCTAATACCTGAAAACAGAGTTTATTTTTGAGCAGATATTATTAGATAGATTTGTTTTCAAGAATTGATTGTTAAATTTAGAGAAAAGACTCAATGAGAAATGCTTGCATGTGGGATTGCTAAGTGTTGGAACTAAGCAAAAACCTGCAGTTATTTTTGCCGTACAATAAACAAAATTTGCCTTTCAGTAAACAAAAAAGATTAAATTTATATAAACATCTTTTTATTAATTATATATATTTTTTCATTTATTACTTATAATCACCCTTAATGCCTGCAACTTTGTCTCTTATAGGGACGAAGTTTTTTATAGTTATGTGCGGAGAAAACAGATATAATGGCATATTTGCTTTTAAATAAAGTTAGCAAAAATTATAATAAACTTTTATGTTTTTGTCTTTTTCACACACCATGTCTGTTTCTCCACACCTAATACTTGCTTTCACATGAAATAAGCACAAACTATACGCATATACAAATATATTTTTACTTAAAAAAATGTATAGTCTTAAAATAAAAAATATAAAACCATTTTGTAATTTTTTATTAATTTCAAATTTAATTTAATATTTACTTCTGGAGCTAAATATTCTGGCGTTCCACAAAAGGTTTTTGTTGTATCTGTAAAAGATATTTCTTCTTTACACAAACCGAAATCTGTAATTTTGATGTGACCCTCTGAGTCTATCAAGAGATTTTCCAGCTAAATTTAGAAAATAATATATATATATATATATATATATATATATATATATATATATATATATATATATATATATATATATATATAATATATATAAAAAATATATATATAAATAATTTTTTTTTAGAAATGTTAAGCTTTTATGCAAAATAATTTTATTTATGTAAAATGATCATTACTTTTGTAATTTTAAAAAAATTGCCCTTCTTTTGAGTAACAGGTTGACATAAATTTAGAGAAATTTATGTCAACTGCAACTTTTTTTCAGATAATATTAAAAATTAAATACACATAACTTAATATCTTAAAGTAATAAATAAAGCTAATATTAAATGTAATATAAAAAAAAACATGTTAATTAAAAGTATTATTTTCATAGTTTAAAATAACCTAAAACACAATTTTCATGATTTAAAACAAAATAACCTTTAAATCCCTGTAAACAATTTTATTTTCATGTAAATATTTTAAAGCAAGTGTAATCTCAGCACCATAGAATCTTGCTCTTGCTTCAGAAAACACTTTATCTCTTGACAAGTGAAAAAATAACTGTAAAAACAAAAGCAACAGGCTTAAATAATAATAATAAAAAAAAATCAATACCACTAACCAACTATAATTAAATTTATTTGTAATAATTTCAAACAATAATAATTTAAATAAGTATATAATAATACAACATTGTCATGATTTTTGTTGATATTTGTTTAAAAAATTATATATAAATATTATTTGTTGTTTTAAACATAAAATTTAATCATTATTAAGTATAAATAAGTAACAATCAAGTTAACTCTGGATAACAAAGTAAATTTATTTTTCTTAAACCAATAAAGATACCATAGTTACCATAGTAACCAATAAAGATACTATAGTTACCATAGTAACTAATAAAGATACCATATAGATACTATTAAATATAGTTTAGAACTTGGTTCTAAACTATACATATAACTTCACAGAAAGATATAAAACAATGCTATATAGAATGTTACACCTGCACCACTTTTATATCTTTCTGTGAAGTTATATGCACTGAAAGAATACACCATAGTATACTATATAGCCTAGTTTAATTTTTTATGTCCAAACCATTTTGTTTACTGTATTGTTATATGTTGATTTTTAACAAACATACAAAATATTACTTTTATTTATGAAGTATATTTTAAGTAACGATTTCCGAAAGATATATTGCTACTAAATAAATGGTTTGGTATCATACATAGAGGAAACTTTGATCCAATAAAGAATTTAAAAATTAGTTCTAAGAATTTTACATTTTACTCTATATTCAGATGTTGTTAGCAGTTGGAGTTCGAAAAAGAAAGCTATACCAAGCATTTTTGATATTCCAAGTAGTTTAGTGAAACAAATTATAACTAGAAAACCTCAAACAAATAGAAAAATCACAAGTAAAAGTAAAAAACCAAAATCAAAGCAATAGATGATGCTATTTCTTTTGAAACTCTTTTTCTATTTCTTTTGAAACTCTTAACTCTCTTCTTAACTACAGAGCTACCTTTAGATGGAGCTGAATCATCCTTTGAGAATTTGAAAAAAACATCTTAACGCTGATTTATCAGTTAACGCTGATTTATCAGTTAACAGTTTACTTGTACATACATCCAGTTACAAAAAAAAAAAAAAAAAACTTATATTTTCATAAATCCTCTGCGTATGTATGGTAAGAAATACATTAAGCTTGCACAAAACTTTGATTACAAGTTTGATTGTAATAAAGAACTGATAAAATAAGAATATAATTAAAAATTAGTAACTATTCAAGAAAAGGAAGATTAAGCAACAAAAATTACAAAGAGATATAAATTGGTTTAAAAAAAAAAAGGAAAGTCAAAATAGATGCACACACAGTCAAATAGATGCAAACACAATATTTACAGTATTTTCAGCAAAGAGTTTGCATCAAATAGATGCAAACACAATATTTACAGTATTTTCAGCAAAGAGTTTGCATCAAATAGATGCAAACACAATATTTACAGTATTTTCAGCAAAGAGTTTGCATCAAATAGATGCAAACACAATATTTACAAGTAAGTCAGTATTTTATGGATTTTGGAGACAGCAAAACCAGATTTATTTTAGTTATTAATAACATTTTTGATATCTTTTTGACATCTTGACATTATAGAAATTTGTTAGCTAAGAATTTCAAATCTAGTTTACAACATTATAATAAAGAAGCTAATTTAAAAAAAAATAAGAGTCAATAGAGTATTTAATAAAACTTAAATGTGCTAAAAAAACCACTGCATTCAATTCAAAGTAAAACAGGCTTTATTGGGATGATTGTAAGCCTGAGATTTTATTTAGAAATATATTATCCCACTTGAAAGTTTTTTTGATTGACATAAGAAGCCATGAACATTATAATAATAATCCCACAGCAAACTGCCTACAAGAAATTGTTAAAGCATACAAGTTTTTCAGATTCTTCTCAGGCCAATTGAATCAACTGGGTACCACCAATATTTTCAGCAAAGAGTTTTCAAAAAGTATATAAAATAAAAACAATTGATCATTAGCTTATTGAAACAAATGACCACAAATATGCTGTAAATAGTTCAAGTCATTCAAAAAATTTTAAAAGTCATTTATAACATGTGTGTTATGAATGACGTTATTGAATATATTTATGGATTTGTTGAAAAAATAAATAAAAAGGTTTTGATTGTGACATTTGCTTATCCTTAGTTTAATCACAGATACAACTTCAACATTTAAAAAAAATTACAGAGGTATTAAACCATGCTTAGTTCAACCCTTAAAAGATGTTATTTACATATGTTAAGTTGCAGAAAGCGAAATCAGAATTTTTAGGAAAGAGGAGAAAAAATGTATTAATTTTTCAAATAGAAATGTTCATATACATTAAAAATTCAATCGAATTAAAAAGTTTTATGAATATTTTCTTTAAATTAATTTTTTTTATGGTGTAAATTGTTAGAACTTTTTTGTTAAATCTTAATTCTATAAAAATTATACTGTAAACAAATTTTAACATAAATTAAAAAAAAAATAAAAAAATAAAATAGCAACCTCTCCACCATTTACATACTCCATCACAAAAACAAGACGATCATTGGTCTGAAATGAATACTTTAGTTCCTAAATAAATAATAAAATCATTAATTTAATTCTGATAACAAAAATAATAAAAATTAACTTTTGAAATGCAATCAAATAAAAAATCAAATTTCAAACTAATTACAATCTAAAACCTTTTTAAAATATAAACAACTTTTAAAATGTAACTTATTACAATTTGAAATTTATTTTAGTAGTTGTATTAAGAAGTATTTATGTTAATAAATTCATAAGAGTTAAGAGGACTACCAACCCTAAAAATAGTGGATTACTCACTATTATTATGGTTGGTAGCCCTGTTAGCTAACTGATCTTAGTTCATAACAGAAAATAATCCACAGTTATCCAAACCAATAGCTCTAATCTCTAAAGTGACTCTTTTTGCTTATGAAACAACTATATACTCATGAAATGACAAAAGTTCATTACTTTATGATCACAACAGAAAAATAACTTTGAATCTGAGCTATCTTCTATGATTGGATGGGCAGGTGAATTTTAACACAAACACTACTAAGTTGGTTACTGCTAATAATTATTGCAACATGTTCCTATATTGATGAATGACAACATTCTTACTGAGTCCTCTACTTCAAATTGTCTTTCCAGATTTTAATTCACTAATAAACTCTAATGTTCACTAATAAACTTTTATGTTCACTAATAAACTCTTATGTTCGCTAATAAACTCTTATGCTCACTAATAAACTCTTATGTTCACTAATAAACTCTTATGTTCACTAATAAACTCTTATGTTCACTAATAAACTCTTATGTTCACTAATAAACTCTTATGTTACATTTACAATCTAAAGTTAGCACCTGCTGAGTTTGCTTCTCCTTATTTTACTCATTTTTCTATCATTGAATTATCAGTAATTTTTTTATCTTATGTTATATATATATATGTTTTTTCTTTAAACAACAATACTCTTCTGTCTTCATGTTTTTCTTACTAATACAATAACAGTATTTACTAATTACTGTTTTTAAGTCTTCAATACCTTTCTTGTTTTTAACTGATTTCTTTGGCCTTTCTTCTTTTAATTACAACAATATCAACATCTGGAATATATTCTTAAACTTTTACTTCATTATAAATTTTTTTTAAATCATTAGCTTCATTATTATTTAAATTAAAAAATTTGTTTCCATTATCATTGCCATTGCTCTATTTATTCATAAATATTTGTGTGCAATGATAATGAACTTGATTATCTATACTTTATAAACATAGTATTGCATTTCTACTTGAAGATTTCTACTTCTACAATAGAAAGTGCAAGTACACTGTAAAATACTCATAAATACAGTATTGGCAAGGTGCTTGCTTGGTCAACAAGTAGTTCTAATACTGCCATGTCCATGGTAATACTATGTTCAAATTATATCTCTGTGCAGTATCCTTGCTTGTAAAAGTTTGTGTCATAACAATTAAAACAACAGTAAAATAGTAATAACTTGATTTTATTTATTAAGAGAGTTCATGTTGTGATAATATTTGATCTAAAAAATACCAAAAAAAAAAAAACATTTGACATTTAAAAAAACAAACCAACAAACAAACTGAAAAAAGAGTTGAGCACAAGTAAAATGCTTTTTTGCAACTAAATACATATAACATTTAGATTAGCAAACTTACCTCATACTGATTTAGAAAACAGTGAGGGCTTCAGTATCTCCTTATATCAGTTACTGTATTGACTGATATAGGAGCATATGCAAAGAAGTTGCTGCTAAATTGAGCTGGAGTTAGGGCAGTGATAAATTTTTTCATCATTCTTGTTTTATTTTTCTGAAAAAACTGTATGAACTCAGGTCAAAAATAGCTCGCAAATGCATATTTGTATGCACTATAGTGTATATAGATATGCAAATACTACAGTATGCGCTATAGTATAAAATGCATTTCTATATGAGCTATAGTATAAAATGTGGATAAATATGTAGGAGATTTGTTTGATAAAGTTTTCTATGCAATAACAGATTTATTGTAGGCAACACTTTAAGGGATTGATTACCAATAAAGCAATTGTGTTGTGATTGCAACCTCTTTAGTGAGACAAGGACATGTGATTTTACTTATTTTTTAAAAGATAAAAAGTTCACAACATTAAACACCTGTTATTTTATGTTGCTATGTTGTTATCTTGCTTACAAATTGCTTTATCACATAAAAAACATCTTGTATATATTTTTTTAAACAACTTTTAAAATAAAATTTGTTCACATATAAACCAAATAAAATAAAACTTACTGTTAAAAATGGATGTTTCATGTTTTGCAAAACTCGATTTTCAGTTAATGTATGTTCAACTTCATCCTTAAAAAAAATTTTTTTTTAGATAAAGATAACTATATATATATATATATATATATATATATATATATATATATATATATATATATATATATATATATATATATATATATATATATATATATATATTTTTTTTTTTAATTTTTCAACATTTAAGTTTCATTGAAGTGTTGCAAGTTTTGATATTATTATTTTTGCTTAGACTTTCAAAGTAAATTAAATTCAAAGTAAAAGTATAGTTAAACGAAGTTTTATGTCAATTTTTGTAAAAAAATAAACAAGTAGCAAATGGTTTGACTTAACCAGGGTACAATTAAGCAGATAATATGATAAAGTTCAACTGGAGATTAAAAAAAAAAACATGCTGGATTTAGCTTTCAAATAGAAAAATTTATTTGAGATTATACCATATAAATTAAAATTGAAGTAAGTCACGCATAAATTAAAATTGAAGTAAGTCACGCATAAATTAAAATTGAAGTAAGTCACGCATATATTATGTGTGATATTACTTTATTACAAATATAACTTCTTTATCTAACTATATGCAAACTCTACTGTTTAAACATATTTTGACTTCAGCAAAAAAAATTTACTATAACATTTACTAAATATTTTAATAATATTTTTATAACTTTACAAAAATATTTTCTATAAAATCAACTTATAATTTTCTCCTTTGCAATTTCTTCAGACGAGCGCAATTTTTTACTCTCGCAACAAAACTAGCAAGCGCTATTTGTTGCACCCGGAAGGTCATTTACAGGTGTGTTTCACGTGCATGGAGCGATCGCTTCCACTTCATTACAAGGCCTGTATGTATGCATATATATCAGGGCCTATTCTAGAAAAAAAATTTGGGCCGCGGTATCCTGCCTCCCGGAAAAATTTAATGGAAAATTGGCATTTTTTAGAGAAAAAACAATATTTGCCGCAAAAACCAAAAAAAAAAAAAAAAAAAAACAATCTAAAATAGCCCCTGTATATATATATATATATATATATATATATATATATATATATATATATATATATATATATATATATATATATATACATATACATATATATATATATATATATATATATATATATATATATAACGCTATATATATATATATAACGCTCAAAATATTTTTCAAAACTTGCTGATCAAATGTAATTTTTTCACAAAAACAGGTTATTTTGGAATTTTCAAAATTTCCCTAAAAATAGCAAATCAATGATCGTTGATCGTCTGTTATTTTGAGCGCTGTGTGTGTGTGTGTGTGTGTGTATATGTGTGTATATATATATATATATATGTGTATATATATATATATATATATATATATATATATATATATATATATATATATATATATATATATATATATATATATATATATATATATATATATATATATATATATATGGGCAATTCCACGAGATAAAAAAAAGAAAAAAAATTATGAAAACACATACTAAACTCTATAACTCTTTTTTTTTAACAATTTAAAAACACTTTTAAGTAAAAAAGTTAATTAAAAAAATCCTTTATCATACCATAACATGGTTTTAAAGGTGTAAGGGTTGCAAAAACGTGTTTTGATATTCATTTATTTTAAGTCCTGTTGGGTAACGTTAAAAATCTTATCATAAAACTTTGATAATGTCATAGTGAATTATTTTAACATAATTTACATGGTTTTAAATAATCATTTATACTTCTTTCTGATTGGATTGTTTTATTTGTTGTTTTTTAATATAGGATTTTTGCAACTTTACAACAATCGGAGAGTCAAGTTTGGCAGAATAAGCCGGTCCAGCTACATTTCAAATGCATTTTTGGACGTTTTCTAGAAGAGAGAGAACATCATTGGAAGAAACAGCCCATATATGACAACAGTATTCCATACAGGGATGAATAAGAGATTTGTAGAGGTAGAGATTAGAATCAGGCGTAAGAAATTGGTGAGCATGATAAAGAAAAGCATCCTATGCAGATGCTAAATTAACAACTGATTGTATATATGCTTTCCATAAATGGTCAGTAGCGAACAATAATCCAAGAAGACATAACAAAGAGGTCTCAATGAGAGAGTTGCTATTCATTAATATACAAATGTCAACAGTATTGTGATTCAGTTGTTTACTGCAAACAGTTGTTTGCAGTAAACAACTGAGTTTTGTTGGAGTTAAAATTCACAAGCCACTGCAAGCCCCAGTCTGTTTCAGAAGTGAGATTAGATTTAAGAATAGCTGCCTGTTCTAAGGGATCAAAAAGAGAAGAGTTTTTGTTAAGACAGAAGTTTAAAGTTGAATCATTTGCAAACCACAAATATTTGTAAAAGGTATATTAAAACCATTAGATAGTGGTTATGGTTTTTTTAGTTTAATATTTCAGGTTACTTTTGGCATGATTTAAGTTTAAAGAGAACTTGACTCATTTATATTTAGAGCACGGCCCCCTAAGCAATGACCTATGCAGTTGTTTTATTCCCATTAATTAACCTGATATCGAACTGAGGGTTCCTTATGTGGACTCAACAACGCGCACCAAAAGAATCAACAGGGACGCCATCCATGGGCAACATGGCACTGTTAATACTATGATATTTTACAGTTAATGGGATCAGCCTCTATAAAGCTACCACAGAGTTTGGGAAACCTTACTACCAGCCGACCTCTGAACCATTAAACTGAGTGTTTTAGAGGTGTATCTTCATTAGGAGATAATAGAGAGAGTTGCATAGTCACTATCAATGAAGCACAAGCAAAAATCTATGAGAAGAGTCAAGAAGATCTGGAATCCACTATTCTAGACAGGAAACAATGTAACACAGACTTGTATCTATGCCAGTCTAAAAAATGAAAAAGGGGTTCGAGGCTGGTCAGCAGAACTATAACAATTACCTCTTATATCTTTACCTTGGAGGCCTTATACAAGACAGTAGCTGGATGCAGTTAACATCTGCCCAAGATAAGTATTTTTATTGAAACGCCCTCTAGCCTTTACTCAATCAAACTCAAAATGCAGCAGAGCATGGGGCAGGTAGTACTAGGTCACAGGATACCTGTAGCAGGGTAATTGTGATGATCCTGAACCTGACCTGGCCTAGAGTAGTTTAAAGTTACTTCCTGTAAACATTACTTTAAATCATTAAACAAAATATTTTAGAAATGCATTAGGAAAAACATTATGTCTAACAAAATACTAGAGATTAAAGTGAGTATAGATTTTTTAGTTGGAGTCACTAGTTAGTTACTGAGCTCATACTGGATTAGAGACTTAAACAGAACACAAACATACATAAAGTAACTTCTGGGTGAGTAAACACTGTGTCAGAAGTTTAGACAGAACACAAACATATATAAGGTAACTTACAGCTAAATGAACACTGCGCCAGAGATGCAGACAGAACACAAACATACATAAAGTAACTTACAGTTGAGTGAACACTGCGCTAGAGGTTCAGACACAAACATACATATAGCGACTTACACGTGAGTCAATATTGCGCTATATGTTTAGACAGAAAACAAAGATACATTTAAAGTAAAAAACAGATAAGTTAACACAGTAACTAAGGCATCTTTAACTAGATACACACTAAAAACAAAAACAAAAATAAAACAAAAATAAATAAACACAAAAATATACTACTATAGGCATGACAGATGTTAATAGTATTGATGACAGAAAGTACATTTCTGTATGGATTATTAGATTAGTTGGTATATGCATATCTATATGCAAGCCTTCTTGTAAGAGACTTGCGATCGCATGCCTCATATGACCATGCATATAAAACTATGTTTTGACAACTTGGCAACGACACTTTGCAAGTTTTGATAATTAGCGCTTTTAAAAAAGACTCTAAAAAAACAAAGTAAACTTAAATTCAAATAAATAATCCATAAACTGAAAACAGTTTATAGATAACTCATTTTATAACATAATTAAAAAAAAATAATAATCAGACTAAATTAACAATAGCTAATCTGAAAAAATTAAAATATTAAAGAATAATAAAATAAGTAGTAGAAAAACCATATAAAATTAAAACATACAATTTATTATTTGATGTAAACTTAATTGTGAGCAAATATTAAAAAAAAAATTTATCCCAGCTCTATCAATCTTTCTCATTCCCTCCCATAAATAAATAGGCTAATACAAGGACAGATCCATAGCGAGGGGAGGGCCATCCCCCCCCATCCTTCCTGCCCACATTGAGCTATGTTAAATTGATAGATTTAACACAGCATGGTGTTTAAAAATGTAAGTAAATTAGGCTGTTTAAAAGTGCAATGAAATTTAATAAAATTTTGTGTTGCAAATTTTAAATTTTATTAAAAAGTTAATTGGATACAGAGTGTGACAAATCAACAAATGTGTGAACATTTGTTAAAAAACAGACAGAAAAACGAACACCTTGTTTCTTTATTTTGCAAAGTTAATATTATTTAAAATGGAAAAAAGAAAATGGAAAATGGAAAAAAGGCAAACCATAACAACTTGCTTGGAATACAATTTCCAATACCGAGATCTGCCATCAGGAATACCTTCAGCTGGTCTTCCAACATTTTCTCAAGTGATTCAGCTCTGATTTTTTTGAACTGGTTTTTTTTATAAACTTTAAGTACTAAAGATTTAGGCAGGTAATTTATTCTGAGGAAAAATATAAGCCAATAAAAAGTTTTCAGTACAATTTAATAAAGCTTGACAGATTCACAATAGAGGCTGTCAGGTATATTAAAATTTAATTAACTTTAATTTATAAATTTTTATTTTGATTAAGATTATTTAAAACAAACGCAATTTTATTTCAAAATAACTTTGATAGATAGCTTTTTATTTATTATAAAAAACATATCTGAAATAAATTTTTTTTGTTTTTTTAGCGTATTTTAAAAAAATGCTAATTGTCAAATCTTGCAAAGAGCCGTGGCCAAGTTGTCAAAAGAAAGTATTATATTCTATAATATATATATATATATATATATATATATATATATATATATATATATATATATATATATATATATATATATATATATATAATACTTCATATCATTACGTATAATACAGTACTTATATAATACTTCATATCATTACATCATATAAGGCATGCAACTGCATGCCTCTAACACAAAGACCTGATATGTGCTATAGTTAGAGTAATCATATTTTAAAAAGACAAAACTGGGACACAAAATAAAAGAATAATATAAAAGGCAAAATATCAGGCGTAGATTGTTTAAATTTTTTGGTTGATGATCTCTTAGCGCCCTATTTAAGGGCCCTAAAATGAGACTAAACAAATAATAAATATAATTATTTTTCAAAAATATAACCTGCTCTGAAACTGGGACAATTGTGTGTTCCAATGACTTTAATCTTTAGTTATCCTAAACTCCATCTGCTACAGTGTGTGCGTGCGTGTATATGTAAGTTTGTGTGTGTGTGTGTGTGTGCGTGCGTGTGTGTGTGTGGGTGTGAGTAATAAAATTCTAATAAAATTACTAATAAAATTCAGAATGTATATATATATTGTGTGTGTATATATGTATGTATGCATGTATATATGTATGTATGTATGTATGTATGTATGTATATATATCAATAAATAGATATATAGATATACAAACACAATATATACATCTTAAATTTTATTAGTTTTAAACTTAGAGACACCTGACTCTAAGTTTAAAAATAATAAAATTTAAAATTTATATGTTTTTTTTATTTATTTTTTCTCTCAATAAACTTCATTATTCTTAAATATCTTTGAAACTACAGAATAACAAAGTTTAGTTAAAAATAGGAAATTTTAAATCTAAAGCCGGATATGAACTTTCCTGCTCTAACTTGGTTAAAAGTGTTTCTACCTTGGCTAATATGACATCTTTTCTTAGAAGCTTTATTGCAAATACATTTCCTGTCTTCTTTTCTTTTCCAAGCATAACCTTAAATATATATATATATATATATATATATATATATATATATATATATATATATATATATATATATATATATATATAAAATAAAGTATTGGATTAAATAGACATATATTTATCATTTATTCATATATTTCACCTTTCCAAATGTCCCTTTCCCTAATACTTTTAGCATTTCAAAATCTTCAAGAGTCTAAACAAAAAAGTCTTTACTAAACAAATAAATTAAAATTATTTTTCAAAAAGCTAAATAACTTGTAAAATAATACAGTGAACTCTCGATATTCCGATAATTCCGGAAATATCCGGAAAAAGATAATCCCTGGTATTAGCATTAATTTCAAAACTTAAAGCCAGACAACTTGCTTGAATAATATCAGGATTTCAAGCATCTGACGGTTGACTTGATTGTTGTAAAAACAGGTATAACAATTCTTTCAAGAATGTGAATTGAAAGGGTAAATCTTTTAAATCTGAAATGACCACACTATGGAAGGAAACAACTCTACCTCCAATTTTATCCATGTATAAGCTTGATGATTTATTTCACATTCAATTCAATAAGTAACTAAACCTTCAACATGAGGCTTTAGTAGGGGGTAAGCACAGTAAAATTTGTCTTACTGGGATAGCCGCAGCAAATGCAGCAGGTGATAAAATTCCTATGTTTGTAATAGGTAAATTAAAATCACTGCTGCTTTAAAAGAGTTAAGTACTTACCTAGCAGAAATCAAAAAAAAAAAAGAAGCAATATGGATAGCGTACTATTCAAAGAATGGTTTAAGAAAAGAATACAAAGTATACAAAAGATAAGAAGAAAGTAGCGTTTATAATAGACTGTCCAGCATACATGATGATTGATAATCTAAAATCTATTGAGCTCATTTTTTACCACCAAATACCACGTCTAAACTTCAACCAATAGATTTAGTATTTAATAGGAAGTTACACACTCTTTAAAAGTTATATATCTTTGGCATTGATAAGACTGAGAGTGCTTTGTGGTAAACTTTAATAAACATATACAAAACCACTATGAATAGAATGTTCGAAATTTCAGCTTTTTTTGGTGACATGGCCTCATTAAATTGACATGACAATCACTAGACATTTATTAATACAAAATAACTATGGTTATACAAAATAGATATAATATAATCTTAATATATTTAACTTTTATCTATCTAATGTATGATTACTTAATTACACAATTACACTAAGAAGTTAAGAATAAAAGTAAAGATCTTCCTGTTATCTTGTTACAATCAAAATGCTTTATCTTGAATGGTGAAAACCTCTACTATTGTTAATTGTTTTGCAAAAGCAGGAATTTTGAAAGATCAAAAGAAACTAGCCCATTCAGATGAAGACAACAACCCTTTTAAAGAGCTTCAAAATTAGATAGAAAAACTTGTTAAATTTTACCCTCTGAAAGCTAAAGATATCATTTCTGCAGATGAAAATTTAATAAGCACCTTTACTAATAGATGATCAGTTAATAGAAGTAAAAAATGCAGTGAATTAACATAATGCTGATAATGAAGAATATAAAGATGATGATGCAATCAACTTATAGTGTGTGCAAGTGAGCGTATATATATATATATATATATATATATATATATATATATATATATATATATATATGTAAATGACCGGGGTTGATATTTGACCGCGGCCGGGTTTGATAAAATATAGCCGGGACGACGGCTGGGTTTGTGACCGGAACTGCATAAACATTTATACACCCTAAAGTATATTTTTTATTTATTTAAAAAGCATGTTATATTTTGTATATATATGCATTTATAAACATCATTATGATCAACATGATCACCATCATAATCATCATCATCATCATCATCATCATCATCATCATCATCATCATCATCATCATCATCATCATCATCATCTTCTGTTTTGGCAAATACTACACTATATAAATACTAAAGTTTATATTTGCATAAAAAATAAAAGTTTAAAAAAGCAAGTGAGTTGAGGAAAAGCATCACGACCAAGCCCTAGTTTGGTATAGCGGTTTTCATAGAAAAAAAAATTATTATTTTTACCTAAAGAGATCAAAAATTAAATTATTTTTACTTATCATCAAAAGTTTGTGTTATAGAATTACCGATAACTAGAACATTCGCACGGTCCCTTTGAGGTTTGAGATATAGGGAGTTCACTGTGGTAATAATAAAAGCAATAATAAAATTAAAAAAAAATAATAAAATAAAAAAAAATAATAACAAATAACAAAAGCAATAATAAAAGCATAAAATTTCTTTCATATAAAAATGGATGAAATAAAAACCATTTTTGGTCGATGTATTGAATCTGTGGAATCTGTTATGCTTGTACTGCGTCTATTTTTTTCTTCTTTAGCTAAACGTCGTGAAATTTCTTCTAATGCTGAAATCCATTCTTCCCTACAATATAAAACGAATATAAATACAATATAAAACTACAATTTTTCAGCCCCTGAAAATTGTGAACTAATAATAGCTCTTTTGTGCATTGGATTGTTGTAGAACAACAAATTGAAAATAATGTCTCTTTATAAGGTATTTTAAACTCATTAATTAAGTATCTATGTAAAATAACTAGCACAAATGGTGGGTTTTTATGAACTATTTGATTTCTTGTCTTGATAGGTGTTACTGTTATTTTGAAGGTAAGTTTGAAGGTAACTTGAAGGTAAGGTAATGACGTGTTTAGTGTTTGATTATTTTTTTAGGAGATATTATTTAGTTACAATTTATTATAAGTGAAATATATTTTTTACTGGAACATTTATCAAAACAATTAAGAAATTTTATATAAATGTTATATTATTTATAGTTTTTGTGTTTATTATACTATTTGGTTCATTATATTATATTTTAGATATGTTTAGAGAAATATGATAACAACTAAAGATTTTTTGGCAATTTAAATTACAGAGCTCAAAATCATGTAGCACTAATTAAAGACTTTAATAATAACAAAAATGAATATGATAGTGAAAGTGAAATTGATTTTGACATAAATAATGATATTCTTTATGAATCATAATAAAGTATTTGGTAAAATTTAGATTACGAAAGAAATTATAATGCAAATAACCATATATTCAGATGGTGCTAAAGAGATACAAAGTTTTTTGGACAAAGTTATCCACCATTACCTGATCACATTCTTACACCATACTAATATTTGATAAAACAAAGAAATGTTTGATGATAATAATGTTAAAATAGTTGTTTAAAATATTATTTTTATTCTTCAACAGAAAAATGTAGTATATCGAAGTTTGCCCAATGGTGTAAATCACAAGGGGTTTTTTGATAACTATTTTTTATCAGTAAATTCAATGCTAAAGCTCAAAGAAGATTACAGGGCAGTTAAAACTATTCGAAAAGATTGATTTATGGGAGCTAGAAATTATTTTCAAAATTATAAAGATCTGAAAAAGAAAGGAAGATTTTGATTTTGTTTTTGATGCTAATTCTGGGTTATGCATTTTGTGCTTGCTCTGTTATGCATTGTTAAATGGTATGACAATAACATTGTTCAGTTAATATCCGAGAATTTTTTACTTATCATTTTTTAATATCCGAGAATTTTTTACTTAGAAAAAAGTAGACTTCTATTTTAGCTCATTAAAAAAATTTTATTTGCTGCCAAAAAAAAGAATATTAAACTTTTAACTTGAAACTAAAAAGTAAAAAAACTTGAGCTTTTAGCCAAAATAAAAAGAAAAAAATTTGCACTAATAAAAAAATGCATAAATAGTAATAAAAAATGCATTAATAGTTTGTCATTTTTCACTAAAAAATGCAATATTTGTAAAAAATAATTGGAGCTTTTATAGTTTGTGCTAACTTACTCCACCCAGTTACAACCCAAAATAATTTTCTTTTAAGAAACGCAACTTTGTTTTATAAACTAATACTTTTCAAGACAACAATTTTAAAAAAACATTATGATACCACTTTTTTCTACCACAATTACACAATGAGTCATAGATGCTTTTACATAACTAAATTTTACTTTTTATTTTTATGTTTTACATAACTAAATTTTACTTTTTATTTTTATGTTTTACATAACTAAATTTTACTTTTTATTTTTATGTTTTACATAACTAAATTTTACTTTTTATTTTTATGTTTTACATAACTAAATTTTACTTTTTATTTTTATGTTTTAAATATAAACTTGAAAGTCTTTAAAAATGTAAAAAAAAAAAAAAAAATTAAAAAATAACAAATAAAATGAAAAATAATTCTTTAATTTTTCTTTAGTTTTTTTTCAAAAAAAATCTATTTTTGATTTTTGATTATTTTCTTGATTTCCTAATATACGTCAGAAAGTCAAGATTTTTTGCCACTAAAATTTTTTGACCAAATGAAACATACTTATTGATGTTTATCTCAAAATCAATTACTCATTCAAATAAAATAACACCATAGTACTTGAAAATTAACTATAATTATTAGATTTTTAGTTACAAATAAAACTGTTATACATTATCTTGGTTATAATATATAGAGATTCATTGTTTTCAATATTTATTTATTTACTCAGTATTAAAAAAAGTCTAAAAATTAAGCAAGTAGCCTAAAAATTTTATGAATTTTCAAATTAAAAGCTTGCAATCAAATTTAAGAAAAAGTTTTGTTTGATTGAGTAGTACTATTGTTGACTTAGTAACAGTTGTATCTTTATAAATGTATTTAATATAAATTAGTTACATATAATGAAATTATCCAAAACCTAATAATAATAGTAACAAATTAGTAAAAAACTATTATTTAATTACCACTTTTGATTAAACATTTTTGATTTTTTAAATTATCAATGTTATTATTAACTTATTCAACTAATATATTGATTTTATATTTACAGGAATTTGCTTATTATTTATATTGCTTTAATATTGTATTAGAATTACTAGTGTAATTATTATATTATTATTAGTTTAATTTAAATATTATTAAATATAGATTATTAATGAAGATGAAATAAATATTCTTAAAATATAGATTTAATGAAGATAAAATCAAAAAAATTTCTTTCCTGCAATTGTTATACTAATAATCTAGTTACACACACACACACACACACACACACACACACACACACACACACACACACACACACACACACACACACACACACAAATAAATAGTTTAAGTAATGCAGCTTTGGCCTAAAGAATGGTTTTTTGCAGAACCTTTAACAGATTTAAACTACTATTTTTATATAAGTATTTTTTTTTCTGAATAGTTGAAAAATAATGAAAACAAAAACTACTATTAAAAGTTACCTATCAAAATTTGAGTCCACTGCAAAAGTCCTTTCAACAAGTGTTGTAAGTTGGAAACATCTACATATTAAATCTCTTTACAATTATTTTAGGAAAAAAATAACAAATATATGATATATATAATACAAACAATATTACAAAGTGAAAACCAAGATAAAACACATGGTGTGTTCAGATTAAATAAAACAATTTTTAAAAAACATTTTCTTGAGTTTAATTGATGATTTTTTAGAGATTTATTGAGGATTTTTTTAAAATGAAAACAATATGCACTTTTGTGCATAGGAATCTTATTTTTGACTTTAGGAATTTCAATAAAAGTAAACTTTAATTTAGTTTAAAAAAAAAGCATATTTTCTGTTAATACATACATACAAACATACATATACACACAGATATATATATATATATATTATATATATATATATATATATATATATATATATATATATATATATATATATATATATATATATATATACATATATATATTATATATATATATATATATATATAAATATATATATATAATATATATATATAATATATATATATATATATATATATATATATATATATATATATATATATATATATAATATATATATATAATATATATATAATATATATATAATATATATATATATATATATATATATATATATATATATATATATATATATATATATATATATATATATATATATATATATATATATATTAATGTGTTCTATATGATAAAATAACACTATTTAAAAGTAAAATTAAAAGAAATTTTTTTAAAAGCATGTTGGGCCCCAAATGAAGCAAAATTATTTTAAAATTTCAAAAATAATCATTATTTTATAAAAAATAATATTGTTTTAGATTTTAATGCCTAGAAAATGACATTTTTCAACTAAAGAAAAAAATGAGTTTTTACAAAGTTTTTTAGTTAAACATTTTTTTATTATGGTTTTTTTTATAAAATGAATATTATTTTTGAAGTTTTTGTATAATTTTGCTTTTTTTAAGACTCAACAACACATGCTTTTGAAAATCTTTCTATTATACCTATTAAATTTTCAAGGGTCTTGAGATACCACTAAAATTATTTTTGTAATTCTCAAATTTTATGAATGTATAAAAATTATAAAAGGTTGAAGAACCTTGGTTGAAGTTATTTGAAGGTTGTTATTTGAAGGATGAAGAACCTTGTTTATTTGAAGGTTGTTATTTGAAGGTTGTTATTTGAAGGATGAAGAACCTTGGTTATTTGAAGGTTGTTATTTGAAGGTTGTTATTTGAAGGTTGAAGAACCTTGGTTGAACTTATTTGAAGGTTGTTATTTGAAGGTTGTTATTTGAAGGATGAAGAACCTTGGTTATTTGAAGGTTGAAGAACCTTGTTATTGTTACCTAGTACTATATTTATTGAGATGGAACCACCAAAAGACATAAAAAGACAACCCATCATTACAGGAATAGATTCACCGACATCACATTTCAGCCAATTTTTACACATTATTTTATTTCCAATTATGGAGAAACAAAAGACTTATATAAAAGATGATTGGAACTATTTAAAAAAAAATTCCAAGAAAAATAGATGCAGATAGTATTTACTTACAGATGCAGATACATTTGACATTGTTAATCTTTACACTATCAATCTTGGATTCCACACAATATTGAATTAGACATTTTGAAATTCTGGGTCAAAAACAACTAATTTTATCATTGAACCTGCATTGAACCCAACAATTTTTCTTCAATAACCAATTATTTCACCACAGACACAGCCATGACACAACCACAGACACAGCCATGGGAACAGATTTTGCACCCAACTATGCATGTCTTTCAATTCGATTCTTAGAAGAAACAATACTTTTTTCCAAAAATTTTACCTAGATATTTCTTGAATGAGAAAGTGAAAAATATTGAACAGTTTTATTTTAGATGTGCGGATAATGGTGTCAATATATCGCCAAAACATTTACAGCGGTGGCCAAAAATTAAAGACCACTCATTTTTTAGTTGGTTTCTTAATCTTTAAATCAAAATTAAGAAGATTCTAATTGACATATTAAATTTTTTTTTTTAATATCTTGTTAATTAAAACATACGGATTAAAATGGTATAATTTTTTTAATCTAATTCTAATTAAATAGCGTTTAACTTATTAAAAAACTGATGAGTACTTATAAATCTTCTTTAAATAAATTGGACAAAATTTAACGACCACTTTCAAATCTTTAATTTGCACTTATTAAAAATAATATTCGATTATTTTTTTTAACTGTCTTAGTTGCTTATTATGTTGGCTATAAAATAAAATGTCGAAACCTGAATTTCGATATCAAATAAACATTTATTTTTTGAATTGCAATAAGGATATAAAAATATTGCAAAAATGCGTGCAAAGATCGAAGAAAAAGACAGATACGCGGCTCTTGTATTAAAAGAAGAAGGCTATAGCATCAGACAAATAGCAGAAAAGCTCGGAAGGTCTCAGTCTTGCATTATTAACATAATTCAACGATACAAAGAGACTGGGTCAATTAATGATCGTCATTGGACTGGACGCAATAAAATTTCAAATGACCGTGATGTTCGCTCGTTAGTGAGATTAATGAAAGAAAACAGACAAGCATCATCTACAGACTTGTCTACGAAATGGACACTGTCAAATGGTCTGAAAGCAAGCCCTAGAACTGTGCAAAGGGTCCTCCACAATTTAAATTATTTATGGCGTGCTGCTGCAAAAAAACCACGCTTAAATAAAAAACAAAAATTTGCCAGGAAAGAGTGGTGCAAACTACATAAAAATTGGTCAACAGATCAGTGGAGCCGTGTGGTCTTTAGTAATGAAATGAACGTTGAGGTAGACAACAGAAAAGGTCGCGTTATGTTGTGTAGACTTCCAAGCGAACGGTTCGATGAATCATGCATTTTGAAATGAGCAAAACAAGGCAGTGGTTCAATAGGCATTTGGGCCTGTATGAGTGCCTGTGTAGTTGGCGTTTTTCATTTATTCGATGGTAGACTCAACAAACAAAGGTACATCCAAATTTTGGAAAACTCGCTTATTCCTAGCATTGATTTATGGCAGTTGCAAGATGGATTTATTTTCCAGCAAGACAATGCGCCATGTCATAAAGCGCATTTTGTTAGCGATTGGTTCAATTCTAATAAAATTCAAGTGCTTCCATGGCCTGCCAATAGTCCAGACTTGAATCCAATAGAGAATTTATGGTCGTAGTTTGATCACAAGCTTGGTAAAGAACAACTTTACAATTTGGAAGATTTGAAATCTTCTATCTCTTATCATTTGAAAAATGTGCCTGATGAAGTAATCAAAACTTTAATGAATTCAATGCCAGAACGAGTACAAGAGTGCTTGAAAACAAATGGAGGAACAACATGTTTCTAATTTATTTTTTTATTGCTTTTTGAAATTTTTTTGAAACTGGTCTTAAAATTTTGTCCAATTTTTTTTTCCATTTATATTTTTTACTAGTCAGTTTTTTAATTTTTCAACATTATTTTGTAAAAAAATTATAAGTTCTTTTATAATAAATATAAAATACAATAAAAATTCTTTCTAAAAATGTTTTTCTTTTTTTGATACCTTTTTCCAAAATAAAATTATACTAAGGTTAAAAATAAAATTTGAAAAAAAAATGAGTGGTCTTTAATTTTTGGCCACCGCTGTAGATATAAATAAATTCAAAACATCACTCACAGAATTAAATAATGCAACCGACTGTGGCATCAAACTAATTGAAAACGAAAATACCTATAATATAATAAATTTTCTAGATATATCTGTGATTGCTAAAAACAACAAATATATATATATTACAACCAACATATTCTATAAAAAAACAAACACCCATGACTACCTAAATTACAACAACCATCACCCTTAACAACATTAAAAAGAACATTCCATACAATCTTGCAAAAAGAATAACTGTTTTTACATCTGATTGCGCCTTGAAAAGCTACATTTAGATGTACTAAAACTATGGCTGAGAGAATGTAATTACCCTGAAAAATTCAATAAAACAAACCTTTTTAATCAGTTTATCATCTAATAAGAGAGTAAAAAAGGTTTTTTCTAATATAAATCTAGTATAGCTTACAAACAACCACCAAACTTAAAAGCCAAACTTATTGAGACAATTTCTGCCAAATTTTAATCTGCATCACAAAACAAAAACAAAAAAACAAAAACAAAAAAAAACAGGATTATTTAAATGTAAAATTTAATGCAAAATTTGCATTTATATTTACAAAAAGTAGAAAACTTTTAACATCTAATGAAACTTGATCATGCCTCAGCATTTTGTGCCATCTGGGAACGAAATGCTGATCATAAAATTTCACTTTTTGCAATGCTGTGAAAGCTGATTCCATTAATAGCTGATAATTTACACTAAATATCAGGTAAAGTTTTATGGTCATCCTTGAAAAAACTTTCATTTTGTGATATTTTGACAGCAGAAATGTTTGCTGCATGCTCAGATGCAGAGTTACTGCATTTCAAGAATTTCAATTTCGTGTTTTGTTTTTAAATGCCTTGTAATAGCTGTTGTTGTTGAGCCAGGTGTTTTGAGAATAATTTTACAGAGTTTACACTTTGAACTCTGTAATTCTTGAGAAAATTCGAAATAGCCCCATGCCTCAGATCTTCTATTGTGCTTACATCTTTAAACTTATCCATATTTTTTATTTTGTACAACAAAAACGTTTATTAGCTCATCAACGATATATTAATCATCTTTTTTTTTTTTTTAATTCAGAAATTTAAATGATCAATTTTATGGGTATCACTATCTACTGATTCATAGTGGTAATGGATTACTGATTCATAGCGGTTAATAAGTTCACAGATATGATTCAAAGCGATAGTGGATACTGGTTAACAAATTCACAGATATGATTCAAAGTGATAGTGGTTAATAAGTTCACAGATATAAAACATATTATACAGCATTTTTTTGAATATTTGTTTCGTAAATTGTTTCGTATTTGTAAACTACAAATATTCATGTTGAATATTTGTATAACTTTTCTTAACTACCTAAATTATATTGCATCAAACTCTAAAATTCATATCAAACAAACCTCTTTTTTTTTTAACTCATTCACTCATTAAATAAAATTAATCTCATTATATTATCTTATAGTTAAAATCTTAAACTTATTTTACACTCTGAAATGTTATAAATAACAAAGATCAATCATTTATAACACATTTCAATTTCTAATAATATATAAGGGCTTGGCGATCAGACTGAATTTGTCTTCTTCTTGCCCCAGCTGTGTATATATATTTTATTCAAGTCGAATTTTGTAAATATTTTCTTTATGATAAAATAAAAAATAATAATTATACCTAATTATAAAAACATTTGGTTTTGGTTTACTCTGACGCATAATTTGACACCCTAAAATAAAGAAAATAATAAATACTTGAAATACTAATCCATTTAAATATACATTGTGCAGCAAGTTAAGAAAAGCATTTTTCTATTTTACTATTTGTTATTTGTTAGAATTGGACTTCCATCTCTTGGATTGAGATAACAAAATATTAACAAAATATTAAATATTAATAATATAATACAAAATATTAACAAAATATTAACAAAATATTAACAAAAATATTAACAAAATATTAACAAAAATATTTTAAGAAAAACTACTTAAAAAAAAAAATACAATTATACATTCTTATAAAATGTTTAACATGTCAGTCAGTATATTAGTCAGTCATTCTTATAAAATGTTTAACATGTCAGTCAGTATATTAGTCAGTCATTCTTATAAAATGTTTAACATGTCAGTCAGTATATTATACATTTTTATAAAAAGGTTTAACAGGAGGAGCCTATTTAAAATTTTTTTATAAGTTTTCAAATACATTATCTTTAGTAATTTGTACTAACATTGAAAATTAGGCAATATAAACAATTTCAGACAGGATCAAATGTGGTAAATACATTTTTAAGAGAAACCATGCTGTTCTTTTATTTAAATTCTTCTGTCATTACAAAATTTATTAATCAAATAATATATTTTACAAATAAATAACAATTTTTTTCTCATTTTCCTATTATGTAAGCATTGAGACAAAACATCAAATGTAGTAAGTACATTTTTAAAAACAAAAAGACGTGAAAACAAAAAACATAAGAAAAAAAATTAACAAAATATCTTATAGTTCTAGCGTACATTAGTACGCAAATTAGTCTTATGCAGACTGATAAAAATTGTGAATAAATTGCATATCAAAACAAACAAGGAGTGCAATCGCACACGCTTCCTGGGAAAGCTTGCACTACATTTAAAAATGATCACACTACAGTGAAATGAATAACTTTATTAAACATAATAAAAAGAAGCCAACTAGAATTAAATTAAATATGCATGTGATTAAAAATATTTCAAAGTGTGCTTTTAAAATGTTTTTAAGATGTTTTTCAAAACGTTGTTGTTACATTTTTAAGCATGTTTTCTTTTCAATTCAAAATGCAAATGTATCAAATTAAAATATAAAAGTTGAAAAATGGTAACCTAACATTTTTGGAAATGTATTAGTTGCATTTTGAATGAAGTGAATGGACATGTGAATCATGTCAAACATTTTGTTTTTATTAGTAAAACAAAAAGTTCGAGTTTTTATGACTTGTAACTTTTTTATTCCACACTATTTCTTCATCCTCATTTTTATTAAAAAAGTTTATTTTTAATTAAGTAGTTCTTATTAATCATATTTTAGTAGTCAGTCATTTAAATTTTTTTTCTTTCCAAAAATTTAAATACTGAACTAATAATTATTATAGTGAACAACTCAAGTATAAGACATATACAATATTTCTGTCACCTGCAGGGCAACCGGGAAAAAAACAGAGGTTTGACCCTTGCCTTTATATTAAGTTAGGTATTGCTAGTTTATTTATAAATTCAGAGATCTTAGTCAAAATTAAAAAAATTAGTTTCTATGAATCAGAACAACTTTCACCAGGACCTGTCGATATTTAAGATCAAACCCTTTTGATTGCTAGTACAGTAAAATATTTTAAAAGGGATTTTGGACAGATAAAGATTTTGGACAGATAAAAGTGGGGGGTAATATTTGTAATAAAGTGTAGAAAATATTTTTATATTTTAAATCTAATAAATAAATGGGCCTTGATAAATAAGAGAGTCAAGAGCATGGCCTTTTAAGTTTTTAAAGGAAAAGTCTAAAGCCCATGCTTATAACTTGTTAAATTTCAGCATTTTCAGCAGAATGGGATAAGTAAATTTTAACCAAATGATTTAGCCAATGATGCTGAAGAAAAGCTCAAAGTATTGTGAAGCAAAAACTTGAACATTCCATCATCACCATTGTTACAAACTCTATTTAAAAGCAAAAGAGCTTTTAACTTATACATTAGTACATGAGATTTTCACCATGTATGAAACAATAATATAAATAAAATAAGTATTTTTATAAATATACTTTTTTGTGTGTGAGGGAAATTAAATAAAAATTAAAATATTTTGCACAGTAAATTTTATTGAAGCTATTTACTATGCACCTGCTTTCTCTAAATCCAACAAATCAAAACATGTCATTCTCAATCATAAATGTGTAAAGCATTTAATACTCTTGGAAACACAAGAGACCCAATAGCGCTTCTACTCCAACCAATCATTAGCAAATCATACACTTTGTTTCACAAGAACACTTATTTATTGTAGTAACAATTTGTTAAAAAGCATAGTGGCTTTTTTTCAGCTATTGAAACTGAGAGACTTCATATAAAACTTTAGATTTGGGGATGCTTATGTTATTGCATGTAAATATATATATATATTTATTTAAAAAGTAAAAAAAATACCAGACAAATAAGTAATAAATAAGCTAGGTAATAATTAACTAAAACAAACTATTTCTATAGTTTTAGTTTTCAATAACTAAAGTTTAGTTTAAAAATCTTAGTAGATTGAATAATACATCTTGAGAGATCTTCATATGGAAAGATTTGTTTGAATCAGAATCTCCAACAACAAAATACATAACAAAACCACAGTAAAAAAGTTGAATAACTAGATGTTGATATTAAACCTGGAATTAACACATGTGTTCTTTAAAATCTATGTGTTCTTTATAAGTCACATGTGTTCACATGTGTTCTTTAAAATCTCACATGTGTTATTTAAAAGTCTTTGACCAACAAAGGCAAAACATTTTCTACTTGTTATTACATTAACAGATTATTAACTTTATTCTAGTAACTTCTACATTACTTTTTGTTCTTAATATAAGATCTTCTATACAAGCACTTCTTTATCTTTAGGATTGGCTGGCAGATTTAAATTGATAGCTATCTGAACTTATAACACAATTTTTTTATTTGTACCACTTTTTTTAAAACTATGAAACTCCAATCATTGTTTAAACTTAATAAAACTGCATTCCATTGAATTTCTAAACAGTTTAGCACAAAGAATATTATTATCAAAAAGAGAAATACAGGCTTAAGTCTCACACTTTACCACTATCATTTGATGACCGCACCGTCAGTTGTAGCCAACCGCACTTTACCACTATCATTTGATTTTTTTATCTTCATTGGAGCCAAAGCACTAGTTATGATTCATCACTAATTAACTTTTTGTGACGTATGCAAAACCCTACGCTACGCTACGTATGCAAAACCCTATTCCCTATAAGAAGCTATTCAAATTGAATGGAATTATAAATTTAGTAACTCACTTCAGAATAGTATGAGCAGGGGCTATTCTAGGAAAAAAATTTGGGTGGCAGTACTCCCCCCCCCCTTTCTGGAGAAATTTAGCAGAAATATTGCCGAATATAGGCATTTTTCCCAAAAAAAGATATATTTCCTAAAATTTCCAATTCCTGAGTTGAAAAAGTTCTATAGAAGCTCCTTCTGCTGTTGCCTCTAGTAATAGTAGATAAGAAGATTTAATTTCAGAACAGAGTTAATTTAATAAAATTAACTTTTAAATTAATAAAAAGAGAGTCAAATTATAAAAGAGGATTTAATTGCAAAGGAGAGACTATTCATTACATTCACAGGACACACCGAATCTGTTTGAGAATGGTATTTACCAAGTTATTTCTTAGTTCTATATTCACACAAGCATTTAAAGAACAAAATATTAGTTCGATTGAAAACTTTTTACAAAGTTTCCACAATAAATTGAAAAATCATTTATATGATTTAAATTTTGAAAAAATACTTTTTGAAATTCACAAATTTTGAAAAAAATACCTTTGGAACTCACAAGAATATTCTTGTTGTAATAAGGAAACATATAAAGCTAATTTTTCAAGGAATGTCACTAAACTCCAAACATGAAGTTGAAAAATTGTAAAAATAGTTTTAATAGTATAAGATTATAAAATAGTATAAGATAATAGCACATGATTATAGTTTATTGAAAGATACTATTAATTGTGTTTGTTTTTTCTAAGATACCATAAAAGTTTTGGATTTTCTAAAACTTTTTATTTCCAACTCTATTTTATTCCACCCTATATTATGTACACATATTTTATGTACAAAATAATTGTTTAAAGTTTACAATAAGCTGATCTTATTATAAAGAATCTTAAAACAAAAAATCTTTGTGCAAACTAATTCTTGATAAAACTTACAAAACCTATAAAAATTTACTTGTAGCACTTATTTGAAGAAGCAAAAAGAACAACCTTTCTAACTACTTTACTACCAATAGCAATAGTTTGAGAGCTACATGGAAAGTTATTAGAACCCTTTTGAATATATGTTCGAATGATATCTTATATCCATCTTGTATATCTTCAAACAATACCATTATAAATGATCTAGTTAAAATCTTGGAAATTTTTAACTCTTTTTTTATTTCAATCCCTGACGAACTGAAAAAAATAATTCATTCACCCTATACTGGGATGAATGAATATTTTTTGAATATCAAACCCTGACTCTCTTTTCATTAAAACTACTGAAAAAAATGAAATAGTATCAGTTATTCTTTCTCTAAATGATGGCAAGGCTTCTGATCCAAACAGCATTCCAACCTTTGTTCTAAACAGCATTCCAACCTTTGTTCTAAACAGCATTCCAACCTTTGTTCTAAAACTTCTCGTGAACGGTATTTGCCCAGTACTTTCTAAACTATTTAATCTCTCATTTGCTACTAGTATATTCCCTAATATTTTAAAAACTGCATCTGTTAAACCAATTCATAAAAAGGACTCAAAACCTGACTGCAATAACTATAGACTAGTATCATTATTATCAAATATCAGCAAAATTCTACCACTTTCTAGATAATTCTAATTCTCTCTAGAGCCGCTAGTTTGGATTTCATTTAAAACACGCCCATGCACTTATTAGCATTACTGAAATGATTTGTGGTGCCATTGATAGTGGTTCTTTTGCTTGTGGCATCTTTATTGATCTCCAAAAAGCATTTGATATAGTTGACCATTAATTTTTTTATTGAAAAATTGTATCATTATAATATACGGGTATCGCTAATGATTGGTTTTCATTTTATATTAATTATAAAAAATTGTACTCAGTTTGACTCGATTAATGGATTTCAATCCACAAGTAAAGTTATTAAGTTCTAGAGCCTTTACTGTTTTTAATATATATTAACGATCTGCCTCACTCTATAAATAATTTGAGTAATCAATCATTTTGCTGATGACACTAATCTTCTATGCATAAATAAATTTATGCATAGAAGATTAGTGTCATCACTTGCGCAACTTTGTAAAAAAGTTAATTCAGATCTCCATCCTTTGTGTCATTGGTTAAATAGTAATCATCTTTCTCTGAATATCAATAAAACTGAATTTATTATTTTCCACCCTTCCAAAAATACCCAATATATACCAAAAATATAATTACTATCAACTAATTCAATTAAATAAAAACTCTCACGTGCCAATAGTGTTGTCATTAATACAACACTATGTTTCCCAACATATTCTAATATTAATTTACTATACCTTGTTCTCCTCATATCTAAGTTATTGTTGCAATGTTTAGACTAAATAATACTATTTAATATTATTTATAAAAAAAAAAAGATTTAAACTAAACACCCTTTTATTACTGACATTCTTCTTCTTAAATTAGGAAATTTTTATTTGAGTATATATTTAATGAATATTAATTTTATATTTTATCATTATTGCTTTTTTTATATATTACTGTATTTATAAAATTATTATTACTTTTATTTTATACTGTCTTCTTTAACTCTTCTACTTTTATTACTATTATCATTAATTTATTTTGGAAATCTTATTAATATTATTTACAATGAAAGTGATAGTGATTCCATTCTAGTAATAGTTTTATGGTTATTGTCCTAATTTTTGCAAATGTTATGCTTATTTTAATAATTTCTTTCATAGTTATAAACTTAACTATAATTATTTTTAGCATAGTTTTTATCATTTGTTATAATTTTTAGTAAAGTTATCATGTTATAGTTATTAATTTTGTTATGTTTTTTTATTTATATATTATTATTATTATCATCATTATTACTTTTATTATATTAATATTGCAAATATTATTATTTGTATTAAATATATTACCTTTATTTATTAGTGCTTTATTTTATTTTCTTTCCTTTTTTTTCCTCTTTATTTAAATTTTTTTTATGTTTTATAGTTTGTTTGTTTTTTTTGTATTTATTTCTTTTTTTTTAGGTGTCACTCCATTGACTAGTTTTTAAATATATGAGTGACACCTAACCTTATTTATGTGAGTTTATGAAATATTATTGTAAATTTTCATATTTTATGGTTAAATAAATGAATTAAATTTGTGTATAAATTTAAAGCTATATGCACATATGTATAGATTTTTTTTTTAAACAAATTTTATAGTATAGAGTTTAATTTGAAATAATAATAATTTTTTATTATTGTATATTTGCACAAGTTATTTATGTTTTAAACTAGCATAAAATAAAAGTTTTTTTTTTCAATATCAACCTTTTTCTAAAACTTATGTCCGCATGCATGGACTTGATCGATATGATTTTATTAAATCATAATATCCATATATTATTCAAAAAAAAAATCAGCTACAAATAAAATTATTTAAACCAACTTTAAAGCTCCCAAAATATACTTTTTTTATGTTATCAAAAAGACTAGTGTCACTATTTTTGTTTTATTTCTATAAATACATGTTCAAAAATTTTTTTTTTCTCTTGCTACCTAAATTATTAAAAGTAGTTCAAATATTCATTTTTTTTTTTATTTTTATAAAATATATTTAACTAGATAAAAATACTTGGAAAAATGCATATTTTGGTAAATTTAAAATCTATGCAAAACGCCGTAAAAAGTCCGTAATTAAAACATATTTATAGTATATTTTGAACATCTATTATTGTTTAATAATTCCTTAAAAAAATCAGTTGCAAATAGTTAAAATAAAGGAACTAATATTTATTGCAAACCATACCGTATTGACACTATATTTGTGTTGTTTTTATACCACATTTTTAATCATATCGTTATTCAGTATTGTACGCATACTTTTTATATTATGGTTTTTAAAATGTATTGACTTATATATATCTTTAGATTATTAAATTGAAAATAATATAAAAGCTTTTCATTAAAAAATAAATATTCAATTTATGATAAGTTTTAGGATTTTTCACAGGTTGATATTTATTATTTATTATTTAAAAATATAAAGATGAAAACTTGTGAATAAGAAACGGAAATCATCACTTATAATTTTTAATTAAAATATTTAGTTTTGGCTTAATATAAAAAACTTTATTGTTAAGGGGGGGATTATGAGATATCTAGACCACTTATGAAATATCTTAACAACAAAACTTTTAAATCAAAAACTGTTTAACGATTTAGTTTAAAAACATCAAAATTTTAATTTTGGCCAAAAATCAAGTTTTTCAGACCAATGTGCATTGGTTAAAACCTATCAACTATGTATTAAACACTAATTCTCAATGTTTATTACTGTGCACTGACAAATTTATATGACATTGCTGTTTTATCATTTGAATATTTTTGTATATAAATTTCAAGATATAGATCATTAAGCAGTGACAACTAAGCAAACAGAGATGTGAAGTGCATGTATGCTCTTAGTACAGTCTAATATTAACAGTATCAATATTTATTTTATACTGGAAAACAATAGCATTTAATACATTCAAACATATAACATTTTTAGTATTGTTAATGGTTTCAAATAATTATCTGAAGCTGAAAATAAACTAAATATAAGCATAAATTATGTACTATTTAATTTTTCAATTAACTTTAAAATATATTTTTCTTATACATTGACTATTACAGCTTTTGATGAAGCAAAACCCTTGATTGCTACTGTGAAATCTCTTGATCTAACTATATCATTTTCAATGCATAAAAAAATTATTTAAGCAAGTTATCCCACTGTTTGTTAAAGTTCATTCATAACTCTTTTAAGGACAGAAAAAGTTTTTTCTCCACTACAGTTAGTGACCATATGAGACAATTAAATTCTCAACACAGTGTAGACATTCTCAAAATATATGTCAAACTATTTTCAACTAGAAAGGTTTAGATTTGCTGTTCAACACAATCAGTTTCATTGGGCGGTAGCAATTGTGAATTCACTATGACAGTTTTTAACATCTTCAAAATATGTTTCATATACAAATGAAACATGATCTCTCATACTGCATTGGACAAAGACTGTAGATGTTTATGAAAATAAAACCTTTTATTGATTGTACCATATGCATTAGCCCTCTATTTAAGAGTAACTATCATTTAAACAATTGCTATACAATAAATGTTTTAGGGAAGGTATATCAAGCGGATTTAAAACTGCCACCAAAAGTTGTTTTTAACACATTACATTATATTGATCGCTTTCTTTAAGAGTTTTGTATATTTTTACATTTTTCCATGCTAAATACAATATTAATGACTTTTTTTGCAAATCTTGTGTAACTCCTGTTGCAATTAAATAGAACTTGAAATCTTCTACAACTTCAAAGTACATGAATGATTAACGATCAACTTTTTTGCAGAAACGGATGTGAATATAAAATTAAAAATAAAACTTAAATAGAATACTATATTTTTATTAACTCATTCGCAACCCTTCCCAAGCTTCCTAAAAATTGGTTATATAAAAAAAGAGAAACATATAAAAAGTTATGTTTCCCAAAAAAAAAAAAAAGGTTGCAGGCTGGAGGGCCGATTTTTTTGAAAGGCCTAGAGCTGCAGCCCCATCAGTCATTTTTTAAGAAAACTTGACTGTCACTATGGAAAAGACAAAATATTAAAAAAACCTAAACAAAATAAAAAACATATATTTAAAATAACTTACTTTCTATCGAAAAAGTATTTATTGGTTCGCAGCCTCCGTCCCCCCCTTTGACTTTTTCTTTGTAACCCAAAAATAAACCATTACTACGAAGGACAAAATATCGTGGTCGCCAATTCTTAATATATTCTCCTAAAAGTATGGAATTAAGAATATTTTATATTTAAAGTAATTACTATTTCAATTAATAAAACTAGAAAATTTATAATATTAATATAATAAAAACAATTGATGTACATTATAAAATCCAATATAAACCAAATATAAAATATTATAATGCAAAGATGAATGAGACCTTTGTTATAATCATAGATGAGTATTTTACTTTATGAAAATCCTGGAAATTTTTTTTTATAAAAATCCCGGAAAATCTAGGAAAATTATTTTATTAAAAATTGATCGTATTAAGTGAAAACAAAAACTTTCGTAAACTCTTAAAACGTAATTTAGACTTTTTAACTTTTTACCAAAAATGAACTTCTAATATTCAAAAAAATTAATTTGAATAAATTAAAAAGCAAAAAAAGAAAAAAAATGTTACGAAAATTGATCTCAAGAAAATTTTAACTATAAAAGACATATTTGTTTAAATGCAAAAGTTTTGAATTTTTTTAAGTTTTAATAGTTTTATAATTTTTTTTTTTTCAAGTTAATAACAAAAAACATCCGGAAATTTTTTGGAAATTAGTTTTGATTGAATTTCCAGAATTCCGGAAATTCCTGGAAAAAACTCATCTATGTATAATGCAGTTGTTAAGAGGATCATAATCAATTTATTTTAATGCAAATAGGCTGTAGAGCATAATAAACTTGAGGTGCAATTTGAAAAAAAAGTTGACTAGTATTTTGTATGTTTTTTTTTTTTTTTTTTTTTTTAATTAGATTTTATAAATTTCAATAAAAATTTTCAAGTAATAATAATAGATGATTTGTAGATATTTAAACTAATTCCAATTTTGGTTTTTTAAATTTGAAAAAATCATCAAAAATTATAATTTAAAAAAAATTTTCTTAAATATATATTACTTATCAAATAACAATATTTCAGACTTGCATATTTCACAATATATATACCTCTTTTCATAAGCCACCCTTCTTTAACAGTAGTAATTTCATCGGGCATTCCAGCACTTCTTCTTTCTTACTTTTAGTTCATTAAAAAAAATGCAAAATAAACTATTCATATATATGTAAATCAAACCTTTAAAATATAAACTATAAAGAAAAATTTCAAAAATTATTAATAAAAAAAATATTGCAATTCATCAAGTAAACTGGGGTAAGAATGAACAGGCAATTAATTAAGATAATTGAACTAAATTTGTTAAGTAATGAAGCAAAAACTAATCTTATTAGAAATTAAATTTACAAAAAAAAAAAAAAAAAAAAAAAAAAATTATGCAAAACAAATGTTTTACAAACTAATTACATTTAAGTTATATGGTCAGAAGCAGGTTTGCAGCATTTTTTCATTCAAAAAAACAATTTTGCATTTTATAGGTGAACACAATTTACACATCTTAGACTTGCAACTAGAAGTTTTGAGTTGACAGTGCTTCTTCACAAATTCAACAACACTTTTTGCACCTCTTGATGCCTTCATTTTTACATAACTTTTTTCAATGTTGTCTTGATGAGCTTAATCAGAAGTTTTGCTGAAATCAATCTCGCATTTTTTAAAATAACCTTGACTTTTTGCCTTTATTACCTTGCTTTAGTTTCTCAAACACCTCAAGTGCAGTTTGTCACAGCCCTTCAGATCTAGGAATGTTGACTCTTAGTTGTTGTTTTTTTGTATGTGTGTATGTCAAAATAGTGGTATAAAAATTGTCTTCAAGTCATTAAGTGAAGTGTTACAACATGATATATTGTAACCATTCACTAGATATATTTCAATAATAACCATTCACTAGATATATTTGAGCAGAAGTCAATAATAACCCAGCAATTATTTGTGTTTATATAAATTTATCACTGTGGTTTCATTTAACTACAAAAATTTGTATTTATATAAAATTCTTCAAGTACTTTGTCTAAAACTTGTTTAGCATGACAATATACGCTTATATAGAACAATTTAAACAACCCTGGTGTTATTGTCAATGAAAGTCATGTGCAGTTATAAATTTACATTTTAATTAATTACTAATTAATGCAGATATATTGTGTAATTATTAACTAATTTAGTAATAATGTATAAATATAAGCAATCAGCATGTTTACTCTTTCTCAAAAAATGTTTCTTCAGATGTTTGCTTCCATTTTTTTCTAAAACTAGCAAATTTAATTTTGAAAAAAGAATCTCCAATGCCATAAATTTTTCTTTAAGTTTTTTTTCTATAAGCTTTTTAGTTGAGTAAAACTTAATTTTACTTTTAAGAGTTTGAAGTCAATTTTTTGAAGAATAATCCTTTTTTTACAAGGGTGAAAAAGTTTGTTTACAAAAAGCAAAAAATTATTTTTTTTATTTTTATTTTTAAAATAATTTTTACACCTTTAGATGGACTAAAAAACTCTCTTCAAAACAATTCAACACCTTAAAAATTAGCTGATGTAGCTTTCAAAAAAAAATTTTCATTAAATTTTATCCCATTTCATAACTCAATATTTTTATTAACATCAGAGATACATTTAACAAATTTCAAAAAATTTTTGCAAAACCATTAACTATTTTGGATAAATAATAACGAAGAGTTATATTTATTATTTTATAATATAAATTATTCAACTTATTTTCAAAGGGATTTTAACAATAAGGTAATGAATAAAGAGAAATAAGTAAATAAATAAAAACAACATTAAAATTTAAAAATAGTTAACAGTCAGTTTAGTTGTTACTCTTTTTGAGCATGAGTAACAACTTTTCTCTGACCTTCCTGGCAGATTCCATCAGATTCATTAACTTTTTCCAATTTTTACCTAAGCTTTCAACTTGATCTGAGGAAAACAGAAAGTATACTGTCTGTAAAAGATTAAAACATTTTAGGAAACAAGACAAACAGGATGATTTGGAAAATTATTTTATTTTACTAATTATAGATTTACTTACTAAACTAAAAATAATATACTATTTATGTATATAAAAATTGTTATTTAAAAATTTTGTGCTATAATTTACTATAATTAAAAATATAGTTCAAGGTTTTAAATTTCTATACATAGAAACTTAAAACCAAAAACTGCCATTGATTTCACATGTAAGTGTTTTCATGAGTGTAATGGATATAAATGTGTGCAATGAATGATATAATAACATCCATTTTAACCCTCATCATTGTATAAAGCAGAAATCTAATACAACAAATCAATTAAATTTAGAATCAAAAGTGTGTACTAAGTCACTTTCATTTTTTCAAAATACAAAGCTTAAATCAAGATTTATTTTAAGTATAACAATTAAACTGAAAACTTGTAAAATAACACTTTAAAATTAATTGAAAATTAAATTTTTATTAAAAAAAAAATAATTAATTCATTTATGTGGGGGTAATTTTTTATTCATAACTGTACATCTATATTTTTATTAAAGTGTCACCAATTGTTTTCAAAAAAGCATGCGAATTAATTAGAATTATTAACTAAACATAAATACATATTAATAACAACAACAAAAACAACAATCTTTTAAATTTATTATTATATTTTTTTATTCACTGATTTAAACCAAAATTAAATAAATTTATATAAATTCACTTGTTTAAAACAAAACAATTCTGTTTATGTTTTTTCTAAACCATAATATTTAGCATATACTAATAGTACATTTGATATAAATTTTTTTATATCATATCAACTTCTTTTATATTTATATCTCTAATTTTGATCAAAATTGAATCAATTTATTTAAACTAACGTATTTAAAACAACTCTGTTTATGTTGTTTTTAAATCATAATTTTAGTATGTACTACTAGTACAATTAATATATATTAACATATCAACGGGAAATAATAAACGTATACATATATAAAATACTAATGTTATGAATTTATAAAAAAGTACAAACTTAAAAACGTATCCGCAATTTAATTATAAATGTAAACTAAAAATTATAAAATCAACGGAGTTTATAAGTGTCAAACACATGAGTCTTAATAATATATATATGCAAAGCATTGGCGTGACAAAGATTACGTATGTTTAGGTTGTAAAATATAGCAAAATCATTTCCTGCATGTAATATTTGAAAATAAATTGTAAACATTTGAAGGTTTTAGACTGAGTACCGTTTACCGAAACAATATTTTTTTGCCAGAGAAAATTTATAAAAGTCGAACATTAAAATAAAACTGTAAATTTCGCCGCACTTACTTTGGGTTTAAGTTATAGTTTTAATTTTCTTTAAGAGGTCGTCCATAAATTACGTCACGCAATTTTTGACCAATTTTGACCCCCCTCCTTGTCACAAAATTGTAATACTTAAGAATCAAGTTTTGTATGAGTCGTCACAAAACCACCAACCCTTCCCCCCCTCCCCCTATAGCGTGACGTAATTTATGGACGAGCCCTAAGATAGTAAATCCTGAAAGAATATTTTGAAACACGGATATGTGTAACTTGAATCGCTAATTTTAACAGCCAAGATCTTTTTCAAATCTCTTGAATTAAAGTTAGGATATTTGAAAAAGAACTCTTTTAAATCACGCCAAATTTTGTTTTATTTGAGAAGATATATTTTTTATTCTTATACTTATAAAGCAGAATGAAATTTTGTAGTAATTCATACAATGCAAAGATTTTATTACTCATTTATATAAAATTAATAGGTTTAACTAACTTTATTCATAACAAAACAGGCTGGTTCGTTGTTAAAGAATGTATGATCACCGCAGAGAAATAAAAATGGCACAGATTAGTTCAACAACCAATTGAGGCAGACAGGGAAGCCAAAGCTTGTAACAAACTTTTCTTGTCTTTTACAAGCGAATCAGTTTCAATTATACTCAGAACCTGGTGTTCAAATGCTATTGTGACTTTCCACATAGGCATTCATAAGAGTCAATCAAAGTTATTTTTTAATAAGCTTTACTTTAGAAAAACTCCCTTCTCCTCTGGCTGCTGATACTTGGAGGGTAAGCGAAATTCTCAATGCTACATACACATTAGAAATAATGTCAACCAAAGGGTTTTTTGTAATATAAGACAGTGTTGTTTTGGGGCAGTAACATTTGTTACAATAATTTTTGTTTTGGGGCAGTAATAGTTCGGTTCGGTAAAATGTTCGGCAACAATGGAGCTAAGATCACAATCTTACCAAACAGTTTATTCCTATTGAAGTCACTCTTACCAACAGTTGTCAAAACGAAAAGCAGGTTTTTGTACATTTCTTTGGTTGTATCTGTTTCACATTTTTCTGTTTTTTTTTTTTTTTTTTATGTTATAGAGGAGTTTAAAATGTTAACTGTAATTTTCCACCTGTTCAAATCTTTCTGACAAAACGTTAATTGCAGTGTCTAAAACTACAAAAAAGAAATTTAATTTGAACAACTCCTTTGCGGACTTTACAGGTTTATCTTTATTTTATAGAAAAAATATCTTTTGATCTTTTTCTGCCTAACCACAACTTCATTTTTGATCGATGTCCAGTTTATTTGCCAGTTTCATTGCATCGGTAATAACACTATACAGCCCATTTTATGATCAAAAGTCTCGACACTTTGAACTACTTTTAAAGCGCTTTGCAGATTAACAGTTTTCATCTGAAGTGTTTTGCTTACTAAATTAAATTTGAACGAGATATCATACCAAGTGACCAAACAGCAGAGGAATTTGAAATTTGTAATTTTCTAGGCAATTCCCATAGGAGCACATTTTGAAAAATCATCAATCTTAGAATCAAACGTGGATTCATAGACAGCTTCATAAATCTCGCCAGTGCGGTATTGCAAAGGTTCAAGGGCATCTATCCTGCTCCTGTCGACATTATGGACGCCAAAAATTATCATTTAAAAATTTTTTTTAAATCAAAATTATGATTAAAAATAAAACAAACAAAAAACTTTGGCTACGCCAGCGCAGCGCCTTGAAAATGCCGACGCCCTTTGGGACTGCATAACTTGCAGGTCCATACGCTGGCTCTGCTAACACACAAAGAATCAGCTAACACATAAAGAAAACGGATCAGAGAATTTTCTCGATTTCACGCACTTCATGTGCGTGAAATCAATAAACTCTCTGATCCGTTTGTTAATTATGGCCATCTGGCTACTTGGGTCGTATTTGA